GAAAGAGAGAGAGAGAGGAGGTGTTATACACACACACACACACACACACACAGAGAGAGAGAGAGAGAGAGAGAAGGAATAGATATATGAAAATAATAAGTAGAATAGAATCTGAAAAATAACTAAGAACAAATATAACAAACTAAAACAGAATAAAAATAGTATTATAAGAAGTTCCAAACTTCATTAATGGTGTGGTGCATTATACAGATGGTAGCTCAAAAGTGGCAGACTTGGGAAGATATTTTTGAGTCTTTGTCTGAAAGAAGTAACATTAAGTAGAAATCAAGTGCCTTCCCAGAAATTTCTTCAAGATCAGATAAATGAAGATCTTCTATAGCAAGCAGCCTTATTAGCATGAGGCTTAGAACTTCTACTGAACTATCACCATGTGGCTATAACTGAAGATACATAGGAGTACCCTTAAAATGCCCAGGAGTGGAAATGAAGTCCCAGCATGTAGTGAAATATTGATAGATATACAAATACATTATATTAATAATATTTAGTTAGTTAGTTAGTTAGTTTATTTAGATTACATCAAATTTCAATCGCTATACTTACTCGTACTTTGGCCCTACTAAGTTTTGAAGTCTTCTCCTGCTATGCCATTAAAACTAAGGGTCCCTTTGTTATATAAAAAAAGTTGAGAACATTGGGAGGGAGGGAGGGAGGGAAGGAAGGAAAGAAGCAGTGGGAGGGAGGGAGGAAGGAAGCAGTGGGAGGGAGGGAAGAAGGAAGGAAGGAAGGAAGGAAGGAAGCAGTGGGAGGGAGGGAGGGAGGAAGGAAGGAAGGAGTGGGAGGGAGGGAGGAAAGAAGGAAGGAAGGAAGCAGTGGGAGGGAGGGAAAAAGGAAGGAAGGAAGCAGTGGGAGGGAGGGAGGAAGGAAGCAGTGGGAGGAAGGGAAGAAGGAAGGAAGGAAGCAGTGGGAGGGAGGAAGGGAGGGAGGAAGGAAGCAGTGGGAGGGACGGAAGAAGGAAGGAAGGAAGCAGTGGGAGGGAGGGAGGGAGGGAGGAAGGAAGCAGTGGGAGGAAGGGAAGAAGGAAGGAAGGAAGCAGTGGGAGGGAGGGAGGGAAGAAGGAAGGAAGGAAGCAGTGGGAGGGAGGGAGGGAGGGAGGGAGGGAGGGAGGAAGGAAGGAAGGAAGGAAGGAAAGAAGGAAGGAAGCAAGGAAGGAGGGAAGGAAGATAGGCTTGGGAGTCTGAGGGGGATGTTCACTGCTGGAGGTTGGTGAAAAGACTTCATCCTCCATGCTGTTCCGTCTCCTGGCTTCAGGTTTTTTGCATAGTTTGACATTTTTAATTTGCATAGTTTTAACATTTTAATTGTTTTTCTATTTATATTATGATCTGTAAACTGCTCAGAGCTGCCTTATAGGGGAAATGGGCACCATATCAATCAAAGGAGGGAGGGAGGGAGGGAAGGAAGGAAGGAAAAATAGACTTTCCTCATTCCTTACCTCCCAATAACCAGGAAGGCATGGCATATTTGCATGCAATTCTACAAATCGGGAATGAACAACACAAAATGCCAAACTACCTGAAACATGCTTGTATAGTGCTTCCTGAATTCATAATAAATAAACATACACTTTTTTTAAAAAAAAAAGAAGAATATAAAATAAAACAGCTGAGATATCAGGAAAAATTTGCATCTTAGCTTATAAAGTAACTAACATACACACACACTGATGGCAGGGGCTTTGGAAAGATAACAACTTCTGTCGTAAGCAATAATTAATGAAACACATGTGGCAAGGTTAAATATTAATCATTTTAAGTATAAATCAAGGCCTGAACACAATTTCTATACTTTCACGGAACCCAAAAACAGCATTATGCACTTAATTTTTAAATTTTAAATTTTAAATTAATTTTTTAATTTTTAAAATTTCTTAATTTTTAAACGTGAATGAGAAAACCCATAATTCTCAGTATTACGATCTTAGAACTCAGAAGACAAGAGTGATGCGACACAATTTAGTCCCTCAAAATTTCTGTAGACAAAGAGATGATCTGATTTGCGTTGTTACCCTACTCTCAGCAAACCTAAAAGGACCCTTTTATTTAAAGTTAAATTATTTCGGGGGGGGGGAGGTAAGATTTCCCTTTGGGTAGATGTTAAACTTAAAAATATTTTTATAAGGATACACAGCAATACCTGTGTGGGGTGTGTGTGTGTGTGTGTGTGTGTGTGTGTGTGTGTGTGTCATACAGAAAAAAAAAGGAATTGTGTAAACAGCAGCGCCATCTGCTGTATTTCAGTGAAACTACAGGACTAAAAATGTAGAAGAATCAACGTTCATCCTAAATGTTAACTTTGAATAGCTAATTGGATGAATGGGATTATAATTTTTAAAAAATAGCACCTACTTCTCAGAAAACATTAAAATAAGACAGTAACCCTGTATTAGAAGTACCACTCAAAAGAGCTCCTGTCAATGAGCCAGTGTGGTATGCTGGACTAAAGGCAGGAAGACCCAAATGTTGATCTATCTTCTTCTACACAAATTCCTTGTGTGACTTTGGATCAGTCACTTGCTCTTTGCCCAACCTGTCTCAGATTGTTGAGAATATTCATAGCTTGTAAGTTTTGACAGGGGGTTTGTTCTCAAAGCTTACTGTTTAGCTCCCGGATGTTTCATTACCAAACTAGCGAACATCTTCAGCGGGGTTTTGGGGTGAAGTGTCTTGACCCAAAAACTCAAGACACTTCATCCCAAAACCCCCACTGAAGATGTTACCTAGTTTGGTAACGAAACGTTCGGGAGCTAAACAGCAAGCAACAGGGGAACCAAGCCTTGCCAAAACCTATCACTATTACTACCAACCTGCCTTCCACTGAAGACCTGTATACTGCACGAGTCAAAAAGAGGGCTGTGAAAATATTTACAGACCCCTGGCATCCTGAAACACAAACTGTTTCAACTCCTACCCTCAAAACGACGCTATAGAGCACTGCACACCAGAACAACTAGACACAAGAACAGTTTTTTCCCGAACGCCATCACTCTGCTAAACAAATAATTCCCTCAACACTGTCAAACTAGTTACTAAGTCTGCATTACTATTACCATGTTTCCCCAAAAATAAGACCCTGTCTTATATTTTTTTGAACCCTGAAATAAGCGCTTGGCCTTATTGCCATGCACTCAAAAGCCCGATTGGGCTTATTATCAGGAGATGTCTTATTTTGGGGGAAACAGGGTAATCTTCTCATCGTTCCTATCACCCATCTCCTCTCACTTATGACTATATGACTGTAACCTTGTTGCTGGTATCCTTACGATTTATATTGACTGTTTCCCTATGACTATCATTAAGTGTTGTACCTTATGATTCTTGACGAATGTATCTTTCCTTTCACGTACTCCGAGAGCGTATGCACCAAGACAAATTCCTCCTGTGTCCAATCACACTTGGCCAATAAAGAATTCTATTCTATTCTATTCTATTCTATTCTATTCTATTCTATTCTATTCTATTCTATTCTATTCTATTCTATTCTATTCTATTCTATTGTTGTGGGGAAACACAACGGATGAAGGGTAATGTATTATTCCTAAATGAAATTCTAAATGAAAAGTGGGTACAGAAATCTACTGAGATCTAATGCCCTTCCCTTTAAACTCATAGAGTGGATGGGAAGAGGTTTTAGATAATTTTAAGCAGTTCTCAATATTTATGCAATTAATTAGAGTACTGATAACTTCTGGAATCAAGCTACAAAGTAGATCCAGAGAAAAGTTGGTGTCTTTTTTTTCCTCCACCTATTTAAAGAGTATAGCTTCCACTTCAACCATTGACTGAGTCATAACTCCTCTGGTTTTTGTAGTGCCCTAAATCATGCTTTGAATATAGACAGTCCTCACTTAATAACTGACTCATTTAAGAACCATTTGCAATTACAACAGTGATCAAAATGTAACTTTGCCACCAGTCCTCGCATTTATGACCTTCACAGGTCTGTAAAGCAAAGAAAGCTGAATAAAAGCATAAGCACAGTGGTGGTTTCATTGAGTGACCACTTCACTTAGTGACAGAGTGGCTGATTCCAACTGTAATTGCTAAACGAGGACTACCTGTAACTATTTAACAAATGCCACCATTTACTGGGTTCACACAGCAGATACTGCCATCAACCATGGCTTATTAAACTATAATTGGTTGTCTTCGCACAACATGCTAAATAATGTACCACGAGTATAGATGGTCTAGAAAAACAGGTGTCAAACTTGATCGCGTCACGTGACGTATTGTGACATATCATGACGGTTTTTGCCTTTGCGGAGCTGGGGTGGACGTGGCCTGCGCGTGACACATCTGGCCCGTGGGCCTCCAGTTTGACATACTGGTCTAGAACCAATATGGTAAAACAAAACATAAGAAAATAGATTTTGGCTTAGCGAAATATGCCGGGGTGAGAGTGGCAGAGAGAATGATCTAAAACAGTTCAATGAAAGCTCAGCATGTCCAAGGCAAGAACTGCTGACTGCTAGAGCAGGGGTGTCGAACTCAAGGCCCACAGGGTGGATCTGGCCCACAGGGTGGATCTGGCCCACAGGAAGCTTAGATCTGGCCCACTGAGCCGCTCTGGAAAAAGGACTGGCTCACGGTGCCTCTGCCAGTGAAAACGGAGCTCAGGAGGGTCTTGCAGGAAGCCGTCGCAGCCAAAAACAGAGCTTGGGAGCCCATTTTCGCTGGCAGAGTGCTCGGGCCACCACAGGCGCCCAACACAAGTGACGTCGAGCTGGCCACGCCCACCCTGGCCACGCCCACCCTGGCCACCTGAGGTCAAACACAACCCTGATGTGGCCCTCAATGAAATCGAGTTTGATACCCCTGGCCTAGAGGAGACAAAAAAAAAAATGAAAATAGAGAAAAGGAAGAACAGAATGGAGTTTATTAGAAAGGTCAAATGGTTGGCTGGTTTAAAGAACTGAAGCATTCCACAAAGCGGCAATCCGTTGCAAACGCTACCTAATCCGAAGATGTGGAAGTTACCTGCCATCATGGCTACAAGACTGGCTTTGTAGACATTTGTAAGCGATCCCAGCTCTCCTGTCCCCAAGATAGTTTTCAGGTGAATGTCGCCACAGGCCTTGCGGAATTGACAGATTTCTTCATAAAGGTCTGGGAAGAATAATAAATAAATAAAAGTAGAGGAGAAAAAAACCTTGTTAGTATCCTTTAACTGAAGAGAATACATATAGTTTTTGGGTTGAACGATGGTGCCCTCTAGGTTTGGTCGTTTGCTTGCAGATGTTTCGGTATATGACTACCATGTTTCCCCGAAAATAAGACCCTGTCTTATATTTTTTTGAACCCTGAAATAAGCGCTTGGCCTTATTGCCCTGCGCTAAAAAGCCCAATTGGGCTTATTATCAGGGGATGTCTTATTTTGGGGAAAACATATGTAATGGTGAATCTATGGCACGTGTGCCACAGGTGGCACGTGGAGCCATATCTGTGGGCACGCGAGCGTTGCCCTACCTCAGCTCCAGCGTGCATGAGCACACCAACCAGCTGATTTTCAGGTCTTCCGGGCCCACCAGAAGTCAGGAAATGGGCCGGAGGGCCTCTTGGGGGTGGGGAAGGCCGTTTTCGGCCTCCCCAGGCTCCTAGAAAGCCTCTGGAGAGCGAAAAATGGCCGTACTGGGTCCACCGTGGCATAAGCAGGGAGAGCATGGGGGAATCATGCGCACATGCGTGGGGGGCAGGGCGGCATTGAATTATGGGTGTGGGCAAGCACACCCGTGACCCACCCCCGTGCTCCCCCCGTTTTTGGCACGCGACGGCAAAAAGGTTAGCCATCAGTAGATTAGGTAATGTCAATAATGTTACCTAATGAAACATCTGAAAGCAAACACCCAAGTTCAGAGAGCAGCAAGAACAAACTAGCATCTTTTACTTTATCATCATTTTTCCAGTTTGGATTTAAACAGCAAAAAACAAACAAGCACAGATTAAACTCAAAACTGATCTCATCATGTCCATAATAGGGCTTTTTTCCTGCCAACTGCTGATCCAAATCAGGAGGAAACGATTGAGATTCTGGCAAAAAAGAACTGGGCTGCCATCACCTTTCAATTTATTTTAAAAAAATGTTTAAGGGGTCCATTTGCAAATAAAGATGATGTTGAATGCTAGTCCTATGTACCATGCCAATGTCCATGTTGATATTACTATTACTATCATCATCATCATCATCAGACAGGGTCATCATCATCAAAAGACAGAGTGGGTGTCAGACTTGCGACAATTTAAACCTCCAAATCAAACTTGCGGCGTCATGTTGTCGTCACGTGACGTATTGCGACTTCCCTCCCCTTTGCTAAAACGGAGGTGAGCGTGGCCAGTGCATGTCGCATCTGGCCCGTGGACCGCGAGTTTGACACCCCTGCTCTAAACAGAAATGATCCTTGGTCACGTGTATTGCAGTATTGCAAAGCCCGAACAGAGAATCGCACACCAAAATGCCCAAGTCTTACTTTTTCCTCCTTTTAACTATCTCTCATTGCCCAACCCACCGTGACCAATCAGGTTGAAGCAAGATGTTTTTATAACGGTCAGTCCAAGTGCGGTTTGGTATGTGACTCCTTCCTTCTTCCAGCTGGATGACCTTGAGGCAGCTTCTCGAGGAGGTACAGCGCTTACTTTCATTTTCCCTCAACCCTTCTCCCTTTCATTCCCCCTCCCCACAGTTCAGGGCAGTCTGACACTGCATAGCAGCGAAGCACAAGCAAGTATAAGGTAGCAGCTGACAGTGGGAAACCTGTTGAAGCAATCTCTCTCTGAAGGCCCAACAGTATTCATAGGGAGCCCAACTAACAAAAGGCAACAAAATCCTTTTTCTAATGTTTTATTACATGTTGATCATTTCGGTGAAAGCCTCGTTATCCTGGAAGACTAACAGGTATACAAGAGACTGAATACCATTTCCATTTTTCAAGGGCAGTGTATCTTTGAAAATACTGGGTGGGCTTTGATTGAACCTTGGCAACAGGGATCATAGCACTTCCCTGATCTTCAAGTATCTTAAGGATCCAAGACCAGATTCCAAGACTTACACAACTCTTATCCTTTCCTATTGCTTACTCTTAGAGGGGGAAAAAAAAAAACGCACAAGAATTTTAGGTTCCCCCCCACCGCCTGAATAGAACTCAGGTAGCATCCCTCCCCCCAAAAAAAGACTTTTTACAAGTGCAAGGACTCCATTCCTAAATGAAAAAAAAAATGGATAAGGTGCTCACAATAACTTGCTTTTATATTCCAATCCATTAGAGAACACTTACAATAATTGTTAAAGCCCAGGTTTAGACAAATTATAGTTCAAGTGTTATGAAGATGCACTACAATAGGTAACAGCAAATTTAACTTAAAGATGAGCATAATTGGACATACGTTCAAGTACTTAACATTTTCAGTGATTTTAGAGTTGCATTCAGTGCTGAAAGGCTGTTCAGTGAGCCCAACGGGTTTTCCATCAAACATGACCCTCAACTTTGGCACAGGCTTTTTATAAAGCTTTTATTTTTATTTATTTATTTTTTTAAAATAAAATGGAGAGGGTGTGTGTTTGCCTGAAGGAGGGAGAGGAACATTCAAGGCCATTCCTTTCAAAATGCAGCTGATTGCTTCTCTTAATTCGCAACCCATCACAAATAAACTTTTTAGTGGACTCTCTGAACAGCAAATACGCAGATGCGTTTAACTTGGAAGCAAAGGAAATGCACTAGACGTTTTCAGAATCTTTCTCCTCTACAGCTACTCCTCGGCTTACATTTAGTGACGGTTCAAAGTTTTTACAATGGCGAAAGAAACGATGATAATTTGGTGTAAATATTTTTGGGCACAATATCGATTTGCACAATTGGCAAAGTTTATGGGGGGAAAATTTAAAAATCACACTAGCATGTGCATACTGCAATGCTCTCTACATGGGGCTCCCCTTGAGGAGCACTCGGAGGCTCCAACTGGTGCAGAATGCAGCTGCGCAGGTACTTATGGGGGCGACATGGCGCTCCCACGGGACACCTCTCCTGCGCGAGCTGCATTGGCTTCCAGTGGTCTTCCGGGTGCGCTTCAAGGTATTGGTTCTCATCTTCAAAGCGCTCCATAGCTTAGGGCCCGGTTATTTATGAGACCACCTTCTGCCACTGATAACCTCCCACCGGCCAATACGCTCCCACAGAGAGGGCCTCCTCAGGGTGCCGTCGGTCAGGCAATGTCGGCTGGCGACCCTCCGGGGAAGAGCCTTCTCTGTGGGGGCACCCGCCCTCTGGAATCAGCTACCCCCAGGGATACGACTGATCCCGGATCTCTGGACCTTCCGCCGGGCTCTGAGGTCTTTTTTATTTCAGCAAGCCGGGCTGGGTTAAAAATCTTTTAATTGCTGAATTTTATGGGTAAGGGGTTCTAAATTGGGGGAAGCCAATATAAATTTAATTTTGTTTTTATAGTATTTTAATGTTTATATTGTATGTTTTTTAATTTTGGTTGTTCACCCTCCCGAGTCCTTCGGGAGAGGGGGCGGTATAAAATTTTTTAAAATAAATAAATAAATAAATAAATAAATAAATAAATAAATAAATAAATAGCAACTTCCTATAAGGAAAACCTCTAAAATATGTTCTATAGGTGGCACCTCCCCCCCACAAGATTAGCACAAATGAATAAGGGGACGCAAAAATTTTGGAATTTACTAAAGAACTGGCTGGAAGAAATTTTGTCAACAAATATAGAAGTCAAACCGGAATTTTTCTTACTGGGAATTATAGAAAGAAAATATAAGAAAGAGACAAATTATTTATTACTGCATACTGCAGCATGAATAGCCTTCACTCAAAAATGGAAAGAGAAAGATATTCCAACTGAAGAGGAAATATTACTGAAAATTTTTAACTGCGCAGAAATGGACAGACTTACTTTGGAACTCAAGGATAAAAGCGAAACTAAGTACTACAAAATCTGGGACCAATTTTATGATTGGATAAATAACAAGAGGGTAGCCAAGACGAATGTATAGTGTTAGAACAAAAATATAGAAGTTATTATAGATTAACGTATGTTTAAGAGATAAATAAATATACAGAAATAAGGGGAAAAGTATTTATATAATATATCATATTATGTTTAAATAATGATCAAAGCTTAAGAACTGTATGTTTATATGAGTACTAATATTAGTAATATTACTAATATTATTAAGTGACGGAAGATGTTTGGAACCAGTGATGTCATATCTATGTCCAATGTTTTTTTAATTTTGTATTATTTATAAAAAACCTTTTAAAAATTAAAAAAATAAAAAACAAAGTTTTTACAATGGCCCTGAAAAAAGTGACTTATGACCAATTTTCACACTTACGACCATTGCAACATCCCCATGGTCATGTGATCAAAATTTGGCTGCTTGGCAACTGGTTCATATTTATAAGGGTTGAGGTATCTCAGGGTCATATGATCCCCTTTTGTGACCTTGTGATAAGCAAAGTCCACGGGGAAGCCAGATTCACTTAACAACCATGTTGCTAATCTCAAACTTGCCATTCCTGTGAAAATGCAACATCAAGTTCTTCTCTATCTTTAAGTACACCCAACTGAAGAATGACATTATCTTCAATTTTCTATTTATTTATTTAGTTTTAATTATTAAATTAAGATTCCACCCATCTCAGCGTCAACCATTTCAACCTAAAATCTCTTCATTCCATCTCATTTTTTATCTATTAGCAAATCATGAATCCTCATCATTCAATCTTAATCCTCAAAAGTCCATTAAGAGCTATCAGAAATAATATATTTAAAACAAGTAAATCAATTTCATATTTCTTTCATTTATTTTACACGCTAATTTATCATTTTTTTCTAAAAATATATTTTAAAAAATCTCTTCTTCTCATGTCTTATCTCATATTGCTAAACAAATCTTTAAAGCCTCATCGTTCAAGGTTAATCAGGAAAAAAAAATCTATGAAGAGCTACCAGAAACAACAACATATTGAAATTTAATCCCATCAAATCACGTCCCACAAATTAATTTCTTATCATCTTTTCTTCATCCCTCTTAGAAACTTCTTCACAAGTTTAACACTTTTTTGCCATTTTAATACCACAGTTTATCACTCTCTCTAAAAATACAACAAAAAAAATCTTTTCTTATCATATCTTATCTATAGACAAATCTTTAAAGCTTCATCATTTAATCCTGGTCAAGAAAAACTCATTAAAAGCTATCTTGAAAAAAAAAAAAACACCATCAAATACATTTTAACCTTGATTGAAGAAAGTAACTTTATATATCTTATTTTTACTTTTAAAAGTCATGATGGTTATTCCTTTTAAGTAGTATTCCAGAAATGTTGTTTTTTTCCTTTTTTAATCTTTTTTCAGGAACCCCTTCAGAGATGTAAAATATCTCTTCTGTAAGTCCAAAATAAAAAAGTTATCCAGGTCACTTTTCTGAATTGAATATATTCAAAGTCACCTTTCTGATTTACTACTTGTGTGTATTTTAGCTATTAAAACATTGATTTAATTTGTGAGACCTTTATAATATCTATGTTGATATCATTCTTGTATCCTGTCAATTTTAAATCCATGCCAAAACAGACTGATTCTCACTTGCATCCTCTTCTCTCCTCTTTTAAACCTATTTTTATAGTAAGAGACAATCTTAAATAGAAACTTCTGAATATTTTCCTGCCAAATATCCCTTGCATTTTTCCAGAGTTAAAATATTTTTCCTCATTCGTTATTGACGGATCTTCTCCATTAATTATAATAATACATTATGATAAATTATAATTTTTTTTCCTGGTTGCTTCTGGTAATCAACATTTAAAATCTCTTCTTACCATGTTTTTTCTCTAATTTAATTCTAAATTTCTCTAATTTAATTCTCTAATTTTTCTCTAATCTAACATTTTCCCAGAGAAAATGTAACTCTTAAAACTCTTTTTGCGCTTAAACTGAAAATCTTCACATACTTTTAATAAGATTTTAAACGAACTGCAGAAAGCATTCTTATTTTTTCAAAATGTTGTGTCTAGTCTATCTTAGTCTGTTTAAAAACTTTCCAAAATTAACATTCTAATCACCCTTTTGCTGCTTATTTTCAACTAAAAAAAAGTTTTCGTTAACTTTTAAACTTACGTAAATCCTATTTCAATGTCAGTTTGGAGGAAAGTCAGCCAGTGTAATAAAACTCGTCATCCTTAATATTCAAAAAAAAATTTACAAGCCATTTCCAATGAAAGTGATAAAGAAAGAGGAAAACCCAATAGCTGTTTTAAGGCTCCGAATTGCAAACAAAGCAAATACCGTATTTTTTGGACTATAAAATGCACCTAGATTTAGAGGAGAAAAACAAGAAAAAAAAGTTTTTGGCCTCTGCGCGTCCCGTTTTCGCCCTCCCTGAACCCCCTGTGCGTCCTGTGTTCACCAAAAATGGCTCAGGAGGCCAAAAACAGGCCATATTCAGTCTGTAAGATGCACAAAAATTTCCACTGGAGGGGGGGAGTGCGTTTTATAGTCAGAAAAATATGGTAGTTATACTGAGAAATTACTTGCCCCTTGCCTCTCTCAAATCACACTCAGTTGGAGCAATTCCACCAAGCAAGCTGAACTACAGGTAGTCCTCAACTTACGAAGTTCATTTAGTGACCGTTGGAAGTTACAATGGCACTAAAAAAAACTTATGACAGTTTTCAGTCCTTAAGACCGTTGCATCATCCCCATGATCATGTGATCAAAATTCAGATGTTTGGCAACTGACTCAGATATATGATGATTGCTGTCTCCCGGGCTCATGTGATCCCCTTTTGCGGCCTTCTGGTGAGCAAAGCCAATAGGGAAGCCAGATTCACTTAACAACCATGTTATTAACTTTTACAATGGCAGTCATTCACTTAACAACCGCAGCAGGAAAGGTTGTAAAATGAGGCAAAACTCGCTTAACAGATGTCTCGCTTAGCATCAGAAATGTTGGTCTGTGGTCGTTAAGTCGAAGACAATCTGTATTCCTCCCACTTGGATGCCAAAGTATAGGTTGTATGAATTTCTGCCCTCCCCACTCCTCTTTCCTCACTTGCCTTTTTCTAAATATTGTTCTGACCTAGGCTCCCTTAAAAAGCAGGAAACAAAGTCTTGGTCCTGGCAAAACCTCTTTTATTTACACGACTGTGAATTCCTTTCATTCACAGTCAGCAAAGCCTGTCCAAACAGTTTTTCAAAGGAATGTTTATCAACACAGACCTTATCTCGCTTAGAAAGCTGCCAGGTAACTAGTTTCCAAACGCAGTACAAGGCAAAACTTGGCACAGAGTCTCTCAGAGTCACGGAACAAACGAATTGTTTCCTGCAAAAGCCCACTCCCCATTCGCTCCTCTTTTGTTTCCTATGGGAGGGGCCAATCACCTCCAAGGTGTGGCTTTACTCCCAAGTTGACCCTGCTTTCTTAGTTGTTCTTGTCTTCTGGCAGCTCTGCGCATGCGCACACTGGGAATGGGCTCCAGCTGTTCCTCTGCCTCGCTGCTGTCTAACTCCCTCTCTGCCTCTGACGCAGAGCCCTCGTCCGAGCTTTCCCCAGCCGCCAGGACTGGCCCATGTTCCTCCCCAACCTCCTCACTGTTCAACTCTGCTGCCAGCTCCGCTGGCCGCCGGTGGGCCACAACAAATATTACCTTGAAAGCAAGAGCTGAGTTTTGTAACCTACTTTGGAAGTCTTTTGGGCCAACAAACATAGTAAAAACACTGTATGAAAAAGGTAGAGGTTATCAGCACTGTATCATTCAGCCAAAACAATGGGAGGAGTTGTGTTTTAAGGCAAGGATGTTTAATTGCATCCCTTTTTTTCTCCACACAGAATCCAGTTGTTGGAGTCCTGTCAGCACTTTCAGGCAATCCATTCAAGGTACATTAAGGAAAACCCAATTACTATGCAGAGGAAAATGCTATTAAATCTACTAATTAATAGCATTCTGGGGAGACAACTAGCCACAGCAATCTAAACAGTACCACGCGTGCCCTGAAATTCTGTGAAAACCAATTAGAAAATACAGATTTTGTTGTCAAGAATCCAGCACACTTTTATTTTTTTAACATGACACACCACCTAAACCAAAAAAAAAAACCTCTTTTGAATTCTTTTTAACAATTCTGTTGCAAATAATTAGAGCAATAGCACCCCACATAGTTTTCTTTTCCCACCCACCCTCACCCCTGCTCTTAATTTAGAGAAAAGTGAGGAAGGATTGAATTTTCAGAAAATAGCTTTGCAGAAAGGGTTGGGTTTTTTTTTTTAAACCCAATATCTAGAGATGTTTTTTTCAAAATTTATAACAGCCGTAAACAAATTTAGGTTTTAAAAAAAGGCAACCACCTACCAGCGTGCAAAAAAGGAGTGTCAGGGTTTCAAGTGACACCCCCAACAACGGAAGACTCTGAGGCTCGAGATTCCTCAAAGTTTCATTTTATTAAGAGATGTCATATTGGCACAACTGGGAAAACCTGAATCTGCAAGTTTTCAGGTTTTCCCCACCCAAGTGAAAGTTCAAGTCCCAGCCCAGCACCCACATGTACATCACATGGCCCAATCGGGGACCATCCCAACTGGAGATGCCTCCCAGTCACCCGACTCCAAGTGCCAGGGCAAGACGTCCTTGACTCTCTGAGAAAGGAATGTTATTTTGACTATATATCTCCCCTACTCCATATAATCCCCCCTCCCATTTTCCCACAGTAGAAAATGTGGCAGGCCTGAAGGCCCAATGTAAAAGATGGCTTCCAGGCCTGACAAGGAGATTCAAAATTTCTGAAGAATCACTTGGAAGTTTTGAACACTCTGGATAGGATTGCAAACTCTTGGTACATTACCGTCAGCAAAATGCCTGAGTTATTTTCCTAAGAGCTCACAAGTGTCTCTTTCTGCCCAAAATGTAGCCACTACCTAGAAAAATAAGGCTATTTCCAAAGCAGGCACTGTGCCATCATGGCTGAGTTTCTTGCCTGGTTTATTCTGCGGGGAGGAGGGGAATGAAGAGAGTCTGCCCTAGAATCTTGATTTTAGGACTATGCAGATGCTCACCTTCCCATTGGCCTGTCAGTACTAAGGTTCGATTAATGACAATATCAATCTCTTTGGCCCCATCTTCCACGGCTAGCTGGATCTCCTCTAAACGGGTTTTTAGAGGTGTCTGTCCTGCTGGGAATCCAGCTGCCACTAAGAAAAGAAAAAACAAAATCCGTTAAATACATCATGGATGTTAAAATAGTGGCAATATTCTATATCAGGAGTTAGATGTAGGATTTTTATTAGATCTCTCAGCAGCTTTCCATTCCATCAGTCATGGTATCCTTCCAGGCTACCAGACTTACAACACTATTTTACAGTGGTTTGACCGCTACTTGAGTGGGCAGCCTCAATCAATGCAGGGAATGGTAAAGTCCATGAGGGACTCCATGTTGTGGCCCGTCAGCGGCCTGTGCAGATTGTAGCTGATTCCGACAACGAGGAGGCTGGTGTGGTGCTGCGCCAGCAGCCTGTGCAGCTGGCGCTCGAGTCGGACAGTGAGGAGGCTGGAGAAGATGTGGTGCCAGAGGCAGGGATTCAGCCTGGGTCTTCAGAACCTCCAGAAGCTCCTTTAAGTGAAGAAGACGAAGAGGAGGAGCCTCTTCTCAATGCACAGGTGGGCAGAGCTTCCAAAAGGCAGGAGTGGTTCCTCAAGAGGAGGTCTCCTTGAGGGTAAGGCTTGGGACTAATTGGCCACTCCCTTAGCCTATTTAAGGAGGAACGCCACTTGCAGCAAGCTGTAGGGAACAACTTTTGTTCAATCTCCTTCGCGTCTGGATTCTCTGCAAAATTGTTTCTGGGCTTTCTGCCAACTCTAGTAAGACTGTGATTACCTTATCTTAGAATTCTGGTAGGCTGTTAAGATAGTTTATTAACAGCCTTTGGTTGATAAAGACTAAGTTATTTGAGTAAAATAAGCTTTGTATAGAGTTTGTGTGTGCTGCGTTCTTTGGGGTCCGTAGCTGGGGCAGAACACTCCAAAGGCTAGATGTTTAACATGTAGCTTAACGTGAAACCATTATGGGATGTCAACCGTTGGTTCATAGTAAGATAGCATCAATACATCAACCCTCCTTGACCAAACTGGAAATAGTATGAACGTTCTGAAGTAGTGTTTGGAGTCTCTGTGAGGATCCCAATGGAGCAATTCTGGAGCACATTTACCACATTCTGGTGAGGGAGAAGTTCCCTGAAGATGGGCTCCAGCACGAGTTCGAAAGTCTGGTCCCGGTGACTGACCCAGATTGGATCCTGCAACTTTATCTTTGGGACATGCAACTTTGCCTTCATTCGGAGCAAATCAAGCCCAAGTTAAATTTGTCCAAGACTGAATTGTTGATGAGTAAGCATCCAATAACATTGGCCTCAATACAGTGGTGGGTTTCAAATTTTTTTACTACGGTTCTGTGGGCATGGCTTGGTGGGCGTGGTTTGGTGGGCGTGGCAGGGGAAGGATACTGTAAAATCTCCATTCCCACCCCACTCCAGGGGAAGATTACTGCAAAATCCCCATTTCCTTCCGATCAGCTGGGACTCAGGAGGCAGAGAATAGATGGAGGTGGGGCCAGTCAAAATTTTTACTATTGGTTCTCCGAACTACTCAAAATTTCGGCTACTGGTTCTCCAGAACTGGTCAGAACCTGCTGAAATCCAACCTCTGTCTCAGTAGTAAAGAAAAATATATATAGCACTGCTGTTTCATGCAGAAAGTAGCATGAGCTGAACCTTACCTTTAAACAGCTATCATCCAGATATATCATGAATAAATTGACACCAGCAAATCTGACCATCGGGTCTGGCCGCCTAGAGAGGGCCTGCTGGTTGCAGGATCCTGGGATCATGTGATCCCCCTTTGTGACCTTCTAACAAGCAAAATCAATGGGGAAACCAGATTCATTTAATGGCCGTGTTACTAACTTAACAACTGCAGTGATTCACTTAACAAATGCGGCAAGCTCGTAAAATGAGATAAAACTCACTTAACGTATGTCTTGATTAGCAACATTAAATTTGGGGCTCAATTGTGGTTGTAAGTTGAGGAATATCCATGCATCTCGTTTCATTTCATTCATAGGTTGTTAGGGATCAACTTTTCTTTTTAATGCAGAACTGTATCAAGGCTGGTTTCTAGTAATATGTGGCACGACAACGTGGGATTGTTTTTTGTTTTTTTTTTATTTGATTTATATGCCGCCCTTCTCTGGAGACTCAGGGCGGCTTACAATGCGTTAAGCAATAGCCTTCATACTTTTGTATATTTATACAAAGTCAGCTTATTGCCCCCACAAACTGGGTCCTCAGTTTACCTACCTTAAAAAGGATGGAAGGCTGAGTCAACCTTGAACCGGGTGAGATTCGAACTTACAGTAATTGCAGACAGCTGGTGTTAATCACAATGCTATCAGTCTGCTGAGCCACCAGGCCCATCTTGACTGTTCATCAGTCAAGAACAAGACAGAATCGTTAATGAACGAATAAATAAAATGAGCATCTGATTCTGAATCGCCCCTGCGGAAATTCAGGCGGAGAGCTTACCTGAAGCTACTGGGATGTGGCAGCCAGCAGATTTGAGAGCCTTAACTGCATCGGCTACTCTAGCCGGATAGACACAAACGGCTGCTGTGGTGATGCCTGGAAAGGAACCATCATCAAGACTCTGTTATGCTCAATAAAGGAGAATATTTGTAGCTCAGCGTTGAAATGCAGGGTTCTTGGTGCTCTCTGAGCTTGTCTGTTTTCCTGCGGATGTTTCATTACCCAAAATAGCTAACATCAGCAGAACTCAAGCATTGCTTGAGCAATGATGATGTTGTCTAGTTTGGGTAATGACTTAAGACTTAGAATAACTTTATTGTCACTTTAAATGTACACTAATCAGCATACATTAAAATGAAATTTCTTTACATACAGATCAGAGATGGGATTCAAATCCCGGTGCTACCGGTTTGCTATCAGTAGCGCCCGGGCGCGTGTGCTCACTTCATGAGTGTGTGGCGCTTCTGCGCATGCGCAGAGCATTTTTGATGATGTCTGGGCAGGTGGGCGGAGCCTCCCACCGCTGCTACTGGTTCGCCCGAATCAGGGCGAACCAGTAGAAACCCATCCCTGATACAGATCTCAAAGGGCCACCCCCTACCAATATACACTACATAAACATGACAAAAATGTGGATGGATGGATGGATGGATGGATGGGTAGGTAGGTAGGTAGGTAGGTAGGTAGGTAGGTAGGTAGGTAGATAGATACCCACATATGTTATATGACACACAGAAACAACACAATCTAGTTCAGATGTATAAAAGTACATAGCAAGAAAAACTAGTTTTGATAGTTTACCAAACGGATGGCATAGGGAACAAATCTGTTACAGAATCTGGTAGTCCTGCTAGCGATACTTTGAAACCTCCTCCCAGAGGGGAGCAACAGAAACAGACCGTAAAGTGGATGTGCGGGGTCTCTAACAATGCTTTGAGCTCTAAGCACATGGCGTTTATAAGCAGTATCCTAAATAACGGGAGCCGAGCTTCCTATAATCTTCTTGGCTGTCCTTACCTCTCTCTGTATGGACTTTCTATCTGAGGCACTGCAGCCACCAAACCAAACAGTAATGCAGTTTGAAACGTTTGCAAGAAAACCACCAAGCTCAGCAAGTCCCATGGACCCCTCTGTTATCTTCATCTGACTCTTGTCCACTAACCTAGTTCACGCCAATAGAGCCTTTCCTAATTTTGCACTCTGCATGGATGGACTTCAACCACCCAAATCCCCATCCACGTAGGGATTATGAGAGTCCACGATCAACCAATCTAGCTTGGGAAGGAGACCCTAGCATTTAATTTGCCTTTTAAAAGAAAGCCTTCGAAGTAATCTCCCGACTATTGTAAAGGCAGTAAAGTTAAACATTATTTTGAAAGAGCGGGAGAATTTTGGAGGCGATCATTCAGATGTTCTCACACACAAAAAATTCCGCACCATCCAGTCAGAGCTGAAGAAACTTCTTGGATGAGAAGCGAAACGTCTTCAAAGAAAAACGAGAAAGTCCAGTTGCCTCTTGAAAAAATAAAAGCACTTTTGGGGCAACCATTTATTTATTTATTTATTTATTTTTATTTATTTTATTAAATTTGTATACCGCCCTACTCCCTAAGGACTCAGGGCGGTGAACAGCCATAAAATAAAACATGTAGATACAAAATTTAAAATGAAGATAAAACTAATTAAATAAATTTGGCTGAAACATTTTAAAACCCCAATAAATTAAGACCAAATTTAAAATTCCATTTAAAAGAGGAAAAGTTTAGGTCAGGCCAGCTTGATGGAATAAAAACGTCTTAAGTGCGCGACGGAAGGTACGCAGATCCGGAATCCTCCGTATCTCCGGGGGGAGCTCGTTCCAGATCGTAGGTGCCCCCACAGAGAAGGCTCTCCCCCTGGGGGCCGCCAGTCGACATTGTTTGGCCAACGGCACCCGGAGGAGCCCCTCTCTATGGGAGCGTACTGGTCGGTGGGAGGCTATTGGTGGCAGCAGGCGGTCCCGTAAATAGCCAGGTCCTAAGCCATGGAGCGCTTTGAAGGTGATAACCAAGACCTTGAAGTGCACTCGGAAGACCACCGGGAGCCAGTGCAGCTCGCGCAGGAGAGGCGTTACATGGGAGCGCCACGTTGCTCCCATCACCACCCGCGCGGCCGCACTCTGCGCCAGTTGGAGCCTCCGAGTGCTCCTCAAGGGGAGCCCCATGTAGAGAGCGTTACAATAGTCCAGACGGGAGGTGACGAGGGCATGAGTGACCGTGCGTAACGAGTCCCGATCCAGAAAGGGACGCAACTGGCGAATCAGGCGAACCTGATGAAAAATCCTCCCGGTCACGGCCGTCAAGTGCTCTTCTAAAGACAGCCGTGAATCCAGGAGGACACCCAAGTTGCGAACCCTCTCCGTGGGGGCCAATGCTTCGCCCCCAATAGTCAACCATGACCTGAATGACTGAGAATCTCCATAGACAAAACAAAACCCTATGTGAATCTGTTCAACGTGCAAGTCGATAATTGGAATATTAACTCACATGACCAAGCTTGTCCTATCATGGCTGTAACTTAAACTAAAATCCAGAGGATAATTCCCATGACTTTAGAGGTTTAAGAACAATTTCAGTTTTCACTTTAATGTATGCCCATTGGTGTACATTCAAAGTGACAATAAAGTTATTATTCTATTTCTATTTCTCCTGTTGTTCTGTTCTGTTCTGTTCTGTTCTGTTCTGTTCTGTTCTTCTGTTCTGTTCTGTTCTGTTCTATTCTATTCTATTCTATTCTATTCTATTCTATTCTATTCTATTCTATTCTATTCTATTCTATTCCATTCCATTCCATTCCATTCCATTCCATTCCATTCCATTCTATTCCATTCCATTCCATTGTATTTTCTATCTATTCCATTCCATTCCATTCCATTCTTATTCTTATTCTTATTCTACATTTCTTCTTGGCAATATCCGTAATGTTTGAGATTTATCAGGACCTCAAGCACTGGGAATTTTTCATGCCAGGGGAATGGCTTGAAGAGTGATTATGCCACACTGCTGGGATTGATCCACTGTAAGCCTGTGCAAAGTAGTTCTAATGTTCCTTAATGCGATTTCCATTACCTGACAAGAAAGAACACCATTTACCTTGATTAAGTGCTTTGCTTATTCTCCCAGCTTCCACTTGCCTCATCAGCACTTGAAAGTGTTGGAGGAAGCTACGGAAAAAAAAAAGCAAAACCAAGCAATCTTCCTGCCATTTTTATTTTTGGGGTTTTGTTTTGTTTTTGAAGAAGACTTTTGTTCCTTGGGCAGGGGTGTCAAACTAGATTTCTTGGAGGGCCAGATCAGCATTGTAGTTCTCCTCTGCGGGCTGGTGGTGGGGGGGGGGGGGAGGGGGAGGAGACAGGACGGGATGGGTGGACACCTCATGCAGCACCCTGCTGGCAAAACATGGTGCGGTGGGGTCACGTGGGGCCTCGCAAGGCCCCCCACGGCCGTTTTCAGCTGGCCAGGGTGCTGCAGGAGGCAGTGGAGGCTGAAAACAGGCTGCACAGAGTCCTCACGCAGCCTCCCCGCGGTCTTTTTGGCCGGCGGGTGTTGCAGGAGGCCGAAAACCGGGCCGGGTGGGGGGCACACGCAGCCTTCCCCCCCCCCCCCCCCCCCCGGTAGCCTGTTTTGGCTGGCAGAGGCACTACAGTCCGGTCCTTTGATATTTCCAGCCTGGCCCCAAGGGCAAGGTATAAGCACCCCGTGGAGTGGATGTGGCCCATGGATCTCGAATTTGACACCCTGGTCTTGAGTCAATTGTTCTTGTGCTGTTGAATTTGCAATATGCTTTTCCTTTTTTTCTTCCATTTTCACATTACCTATCACATTGCCAACTTAGCTTTATCTACTCAGCTTGTTTCTCTTTGTCTGATGAAGGACAATGACATTCAAAATTGTCAGTACACTTTACCCAGATAGAAGCAGGGGTGAAATGCTCCCGGTTTGGACCGGATCGCCCGATCTGGTAGCAATGGTGGCGGGTGGTTCGGAGAACTGGTAGCAAAAATCCCTCCCCCCCCCAATGCCCCGTTGAGCCACGCGATCATCAGGGGCTTTATTTTACACTTTTAAAAGCATTTTTTTTCGGCCGAAAAAATGCTTTTAAAAGTAAAAAAAAAAAAAAAACCTCTGACGATCGCGCAGCTCAGCTGGGATCATCAGAGCCTTTTAAAAGCATTTTCTCTACAATCTCTTTGGCCGAAAAGGTTGTTAAAAAATGCTTTTAAAAAGCTCTGATGATCCCAGCTGAGTTGCCTGATCGTCAGAGGCTTTTTTTTTCTTTTAAAAGCAAAAAAAAAAAAAAGTCTTTAAAAGAAAACAAAAGTGTCAATTGCCTGACAATCAGGCAACTCAGCTGGGATGGTCAGAGCCTCTTAAAAGTCCTCTTCGGCCGAAGAGGTTGTAGAAAAAATGCTTTTAAAAGTTAAAAAAACTTTTTAACGCCCACCTAGTCACATTACCCACCCCACCAAGCCACACCCACAGAACCGGTAGTAACAAATTTTACATTTCACCACTGGATAGAAGCAAGGTTCCATAAACACAACGTACCTTTATCGTGCATTTTCAAGGCTTGTAACAAATCCTCTCGGATGGGATGTTTGGCTTTGTGGCACAACCGGTGAACACTGCATGGGGTGTCATCTCCAGAAAGGGTGGTGAGGTCTATGCAGGTGACGGCTCTCAATAGCCAAGCTGCCTTCATTTTAAAAACACACACACCAACATGATCAAAAAATGTCCTTGCAATTGAAATACATGGTTGGTACACATAGTCCTGGACTTACAACCGTTCATTCAGTGAACGTTCGAAGCTACAACAGGACTGAAAAATGTGACTTGTAACTATTTTTCACACTTAAAGACTGTTGCAGCATCGTGATCAAAATTCAGACACTGGGCAACTAGCACATATTTATAATCTCTTTTAAATAGTGCATTCATATGCGGCATCACCTTTTGCAACCTTCTGACAAGCAAAGCTCAATGGGGAAGCCAGATTCACTTAACAACCGTGTTGCTAGCTTAACAACTGCAGTGATTAACTTAACGACTGTGGCAAGAAAGGTCGTAAAATGGAGCAAAACTCACTTAACAATTCTCTTGCTTAGCAACGGAAGTTTGGGGCTCGTCTGTATGCATAATTCGAGGACTACCTGGTAATTGTGGTTGGACCCTTGATTAGAGCAACCACAGATGACCAATAGAGGGCAGCAGAGAGTTTTCTATGTGTTTTGCTACCATCTGATGGTTGCTAAGATTTCTCACAGCCCAGATAAACCACAGAAAGAACCATAGGTTGCATGGTAGCTTCCCTTGTTTATATCTCCAGAACATCACAACTGTGAGTTGAACTGATTCAAAGTCTTTCATGGTCAAGAATAGACACAAACACGGATATTACCCCAGTCCTAGTCCAATAGCAGTCTCTAATCTGTTATACCGGCAGTCCTTGTTGTGGTCTGCCAGCAGCCTGCGGAGCTGGCAGTGGAGTTGGACAGTGAGGAGGCTGAGGAGGAACATGGGCCAGTCCTGGAGTCTGGAGAAGGCCCGGACGAGGGCTCTGCATCAGAGGCAGAGATGGGGCCAGGGCCATCTGGGAGTGATGCGCAGACTCCGGAGCATCCAGAGTCGGACAGCAGAGAGGCAGAGGAACAGGAGGAGCCTATTCCTAGTACGTGCATGCGCAGAGCTGCCAGAAGGCAAAACAGTTAAAACAAAAGGGACGACTCGGGAGTAAGGCCTGGAGATGATTGGCCCCTCCCATAAGGCTTAAAAGAGGAGCAAAGGCACGTGGGCCCTTTGCAGGAAAGCAACGTTGTTACTTTTGTTCCCAGTCGGCATCTCTGTTTGATTCTAGACTCCGTGTGGCTTTGCCAAGTAGGTCTTTGGCAGCATGTCAAGGGAGATAAAGGTTGGTTATTATTCCGAAGGACTTCTCCCGAAGGACTTTTTGCAACTAATTAGGACTCAGCTGTGAATGAAAGTAATTCACAACTGTTGCAATAAAAGAGGTTTTTGGGACTACTCGTGTGTTTTAATAACTCAGTAAGCCTAGGTCACAACAGTCCTCGACTTACGACTACAATTGAGCCCCAAATTTCTGTTGCTAAGTGAGACATTTGTTAAGTGAATTTTGCCCCATTTTACGACCTTTCTTGTCTCAGTTAAGTGAACCACTGCAGTTGATAAGTTAGTAACCTGGTTGTTAAGTGAATGTAGCTTTCCTATTGCTTGTCAGAAGTTCGCAAAAGGGGATCACATGATCTTAGGACACAGCAATGGTCATAAATATAATCAGTTGCCAAGCGTCTGAATTTTGATCACGATGCTGCAACAGTCTTTAAGTGTGAAAAATAGTTACAAGTCACATTTTTTCAGTCCTGTTGTAGCTTTGAATGGTCATTAAACGAACAGTTGTAAGTCTATCTGTATTTCTCCTTCTTCTAACCTGCCTGCTTTTGATTTTAAACAAGTCACAAATTAAGTACGGTAGTAAATATTGGCTTTGCATAAACAATGGTCAAATTATTTAAGACATGTATATGCCAACATCATTGGGTACCCTGTATATTTACTGGTATCAATCCACCGCTGAAAGCAGAAAAAGAGATTTCAACTTATTCCCCTACTCCACACCATTATTAAAAGGGTGCAATTCTTTTTTCTGTTTTGATTTAAAGCAGGTTTTTTTAAAAAAAAATGTAGAAAAGGGTAACACCTCTCCTGCGCGAGCTGCACTGGCTCCCGGTGGTCTTCCGGGTGCGCTTCAAGGTTTTGGTTATCACCTTTAAAGCGCTCCATGGCTTAGGACCTGGTTATCTATGGGACCGCCTGCTACCACCAATAGCCTCCCACCGGCCAGTATGCTCCCATAGAGAGGGGCTCCTCCGGGTGCCGTCAGCCAAACAATGTCGACTGGCGGCCCCTAGGGGGAGAGCCTTCTCTGTGGGGGCACCTACGATCTGGAACGAGCTCCCCCCGGAGATACGGAGGATCCCGGATCTGCGCACCTTCCGTCGCGCGCTCAAGACTTTCTTATTTCATCAAGCTGGCCTGGCCTAAATCTTCTCCCCTTTTAAATGTAAATTTTAATTTGTTTTTAAATTATTGGGTAATATAAATTTGTCTCAGCCAAATTATTTAATTCGTTTTTATTCTATTTTAAATTTTTGTATTTATGTGTTTTATTCTGTGGCTGTTCACCACCCTGAGTCCTTCGGGAGTAGGGCAGTATAGAAATCCAATTAAATAAATAAATAAATAAATAAATAAATAAATAAATAAATAAATAAATAAATAAATAAATAGTTGAATCCCCGTGTTATCTATAAGAAATAGAAAAGAACATACAATTAGCAGCTAGAAAGGGGATTCTAGTCTCCTTGTTTGCAAGATGAGTTGTGAAGACAAACACAGTGAATACTGTTCCAAGAATCAATTTGAACTGAAGAGGCGGTAGGACGAATAGCTTTTTAAAAATCAATTAGAAAGTTATTTTTAATCAATGATATCATACCTAACTGGGTACAGGCAGTTCTTGACTTATGACCACATTCGGGTCCAGAATTTCTGACGTTAAGCAAGGCCTTTGTTAAATGCATTAGGTCCAATTTTATGATCTTTTGGTTGCTTTTTTATTTTTTTGTTTTTTTTTTAATTTTTGAACATAACAAAACATAAAAGCAACCATCATTCAATACAATCACAGAAAGTGTGTCGATCGGTTAAGATTCTGTTGTGCTTAATCCCAAATCCAAAATTTACAAATCATTTAATTTCTCTTATTTGACAATTTTATATCTCCTTTTATATTATTATCCTCATTTAGCAGTTATTTAACATAGGCTTATCTCCCATAAGAAAACACTTCATATATTTTATCATTATCTTAATTTCATATATTTCATACTTCATCTCCATGCTTTATTATCTAGCCATTGATAAAACAAATCCCTTTTGGTTGCTGTTAAATGAATCACTAAAAGAGATGCGGCGGCTCAGTGGCTAAGACACTGAGCTTGTCGATCAAAAGGTTGGCAGTTCAGCGGTTCAAATCCCTAGCGCCGCATAACGGAGTGAGCTCCAGTGACTTGCTCTTTTAATAAGGGGGGAACCCGCGGGAACGTTTAAGAGCTGGTTTTCACTAGCTTTGCCGATAAGGTGAGTCCAATAAACATGTTCTTTTAGGGAATCTACCTGCTTCGGAGTTCTGCTTTTGGTGGATACATTACTCGGAATCCTGATAGGGGACTCCTGTCTTAAAACATTTGTATTTTAGCTGTTCTTTGTGGCCTTCCAAATCTGAAATTGAGTCGGATAAACATATCATCTTTCACTGGCCCATTCTCACTGTTGAGTTTTGATGACAAAAGCAGCAAACATCATGAACAAAAGATGGTGCTAAAATTCACGGGAGAATAATGTCTCTTTTGGAAACCTAAGAACAGGGGAATTCTCACCTGCCAATTCTTTTTCATGGCCCGTTGCGTTTCAATCTGCGTCGCCCGCTTTAGAACAGCTGGGTGATTCACCCGAACCCGTGCAAGCCATGTGAGATCTAGAGGGGGGCGGGAAAAACATCCATTTACTTCAGGGGTGAAATGCTCCCGGTTTGGACCGGATCGCCCGATCCAGTAGCGATGGCGGCAGGTGGTTTGGAGAACTGGTAGCAAAAATCCCTGCGTGGCCCCCCTCCCCAACCATGCCAAGCTGAGCCGCACGATCATCAGAGGCTTTTTTTTTTTACTTTTAAAAGCATTTTTTCTACAACCTCTTCCAACGAAAAAATGCTTTTAAAAGTTAAAAAAAAAAGCCTCTGATGATCGCGCGGTTCAGCTGGGATCGTCAGAGGCTTTTCAAAGCATTTTTTTCTGCAACCTCTTGGCCGAAGAGGCGGTAAAAAAAATGCTTTGAAAAGTCTCTGACGATCCCAGCTGAGTTGCCTGATCGGCAGAGGCTTTTCAAAGCATTAGAAAAAATGCTTTGAAAAGTTAAAAAAAAAAAAGTTGGCCACGCCCACCCAGTCACATTACCCCCACCACCACCAAGCCACGCCCACAGAACTGGTAGTAACAAATTTTACATTTCACCCCTGATTTACTTCCATTGCCATTTATGTTCAAAAGCAATTTTGGGAAGAACAGAATCTGAAGGGGAGATGGGAGGAGCAGTCTTGGACACCGATCCAATTTTGGGCCTATAATTCTTTAGGCTTTCTTCTTTCATATTATCAGCAACTATCACCTGTGTCATTTAACTTTGGTTGGAGGTGACCAGATTGGAGAAAATTTAAAACATAATAAATATGAATTTAAAAAGTTCTTTGTTTTGTACTACTGCCATCATCATTGCAAACAGAATAACAGAGTTGGAGGGGTCCTTGGAGGTCTTCTAGTCCAACCCCTGTTCAAACAGGAGATCCTATACTGTTTCAGACAAGTCCAGTCTCTTTTTAAAGCCTCCAGTGATGGAGCACTCACAACTTCTGAAGGCAAGTTGTTCCATTAATTGTTCTAACTGTTGGGAAATTTCTGCTTAGTTCTAAGTTGCTTCTCCCCTTGATTAGTTTCCACCCATTGCTTCTTGTCCTGCCCTCAGGTGCTTTGGAGAATAGTTTGACTCCCTCTTCTTTGTGGCAACCCCTGAGATATTGGAACACTGCTATCATCTCTCTCCTAATCCTTCTTTTCATTAAACTAGACATACCCAATTCCAGCAACCGTTCTTTATATGTTTTAGCCTCCAGTCCCCTAATCATCTTTGTTGCTCTTCTCTGCACTCTTTCTGGAGTCCCAACATCTGTAATAAGTTCTTCCTTATCCACATGATGGCTGGAGAATTCAGTGAGTTGAAGCTGTGCATCTTAAAAGTTCCTGAGGCTGAGAAACACTGCTGTAGAGGACGCACCATAATTAAAAATGGAGGGCCTGGGCATATTTATTATTTTTATTCTTATCAATTTACATCCCAATGACTTTAGGCCAGCTCCTCTCTCTCTTTCCCAGTCTAACTTCATAGGGTTGCTATTTTGGGGGGGGGGGGGGGGAAAGGGCGATACAAGCACTGTGCATGCCATCTTGGGCTCCTGAAAGAAAGACAGAATATAAATAAATATTCCACCGGCTCTAAAAAGGAAAACTGGATTGCACACCTGGGAAGGAACAGTTTGAATCATCTTGAATGTCTGCTGAAAGACAAAGACGCTTCAATTCATTAAACCTGGGAGTGTTAATAATACCATTTTTAATATGTCATCTGTTCCAATCAAATATTCATGGGGCTTCAGGGATCAAAGTAATTAAAGTAGTTAAACTACAGATAATTAGCCAACTTTCTTTAATCTTCCCTCTGGGGTGTGTGTGTGTGTGTGTGTGAATGGGGGATGGAAATCTGCTTTTTTTCATCTGAAGATACGTTCCAAAGCTTTGCTCTTCAAAACTGTATTCGGTCATTTCTCTGGAAAATGCAATCTCGCCGGATTCCAGGACCCTCAATATATTTGGCCTTGGGTCCAACTGGCATATATGGTGCTAAACCCGGGATGGCGAACCTATGGCACGCGGAGCCATACTGGTGGGCACGCGAGTGTTGCCCTAGCTCAGCTCCAGCGTGCATGCACACACTGGCCAATTGATTTTCACGCCTTCCGGTCCCACCGGAAGTCAGGAAACGGGCTGTTTCTGGTCTCCGGAAGGCCTCCAGGAGGATGGGGAAGGCTGTTTTTGCCCTCCCCAGGCTCCTAGAAAGCCTCTGGAGCCTGGGGAGGGGGGAAAATGGGCCTACCGGGCCCACCGGGCCATCACGTGCCAAAGGGGGGGGGGGGGGGGGGGGGGTCACGTGCGCATGTGCGGGAGGGCGGGGCACATTGAATTATGGATGTGGGCACACTCACCCGCGACCCGCCACGCTCTCCCCGCTTTTGGCACGCGACGGCAAAAAAGGTTACCCATCACTGTGCTAAGCCAAAACCAAAATCGCGCTAGAACAAATGCACTGCAAGGTTTTGGATCTGGATTTCCAAAAGGCCTTCGAGACGGCTAGAAAACATAAACGCAGCACTTTTCTACAAACTCCTGAACAACAACACTGCCAGGGTTGCACAGCTGCCCTCTGTAGTTGTGATGCTGGGAAAAGATGTGGCTGTTTTAAAGGGGCTCCATCTGTGCTCTTCAAAGCGGCACTTTGTGTAGGTTGAATCCAAAGGCGGAGTTAAAGACAGTATATCACAGAAGTGAGTATTCTCCCTCACATTTTGTAAACGTTTAAGTATATCTTTTCATGTGACAACACTGAAGAAATGACACTTGGCTACAATGTAAAGTAGTGAGTATACAGCTTGTATAACAGTGTAAATGTGCTGCCCCTTCAAAATAACGCAGCACACAGCCATTAATGTCTAAACTGCTGGCAGCACTCATGCGTCTATTTCCCAAAGCCAACCTCTGGATATGATGCTGAGCACGGGGACTCAACTTCTTTGGTCGACAATGGTGAGGCCTGTTCTGAGTGGAACCTGTCCTGTTAAACCGCTGTATGGTCTTGGCCACTGTGCTGCAGCTCAGTTTCAGGGTCTTGGCAACCTTCTTATAGCCTAGGCCAGTGACGGCTAACCCTTTTGCCATTGCGTGCCAAAAGTGGGGGGAGCGCGGGGGGGTTGTGCTTGTGCGTGCCCACATCCATAATTCAATGTGACCCGCCCCCCCTGCATGCGTGCACGACCCCCCCTGCTTTTGGCATGCAATGGCATGGTGGGCCCGGTAGGCCCGTTTTTTGCCCTCCCCAAGCTCCAGAGGCTTTCTAAGAGCCTGGGGAGGGCGAAAACAGCCTTCCCCACCCCCACCAGAGGCCCTCCGGAGGCCAGAAACAGCCCGTTTCCCGACTTCCGGTGGGCCCAGAAGCCCCGAAAATCAGTTGGCTGGCACGTGCATGCACGCTGGAACTGAGCTAGGGCAATGCTCGCATGCCCATAGATATGGCTCTGTGTGCAACCTGTGGCACGCATGCCATAGGTTCTAGGCCATCTTTATGTAGAGCAACAATTCATTTTTTTTCAGATCCTCAAAGAGTTCACTGCCATGAGGTGCCATGTTGAACTTCCATTGACCAGTATGAGAGAGTGAGAGCAATAACACCAAATTTAAAACACCTGCTCCCCTTCACACCTGAGACCTTGTAACATTAACAAGTCACATGACACCAGGGAGGGAAAACGGCTACTTGGGCCCCATTTGGACATTATCGCTTAGGGGTGTACTCCCTTTTGTTGCCCGCAGTTTAGACATTAATGGCTGTGTGTTGTGTTATTTTGAGGGGACAGCACATTTACCCCATTATACAAGCTGTGTACTCACTACTTTACATTGTAGCTAAGTGTCATTTCTTCAGTGTTGTCACATGAAAAGATATACTGTATTTTTCGGAGTATAAGACGCACCTTTTCCCACCCTAAAAGAGGGTGGAAATGTAGGTGCATCTTATACGCCGAATATAGCCATTTTTGGCCTCCCGAAGCCCCAACCCGCTCGTTCCATTTTTGCAAAAAACAGGCCTGTTTTTCGCCTGAATTTTGCAAAAACAGGGGCGTTTTTGCCAACCCCCAGGAACACTCTGCAAGCTTCCCAAACCCTCTGTGCACCCCATTTTTCACCAAAACGGGCCCATTTTTCCCCAAAACACGGGGCTTTTTTTCAAAACCACAGGTCGCGCAGAGGGTTTGGGAGGCCTGAAGAGTGCTCCTGAGGGCTGAGGAGGGCAAAAACTTTTTTTATTCTTACTTACCTCTTCAAAAATCTTGGTGCGTCTTATACACCGGTGCGTCTTATAGTCCAAAAAATATGGTACTTAAATATTTACAAAATGTGACGGGGTGTACCCACTTCTGTGATATACTATTTGGAATCCTTGCATTCCCACCTAAGACCAGCCTCCCGTGAATTCCACTGACCCTTATCTAATGAAAATTCATCCTGACTATTAGTAAATCAAATTCTTGTATATAGGTAGCACATAAGAATTTTTTTTATCTTTGAACTCTACTCCTGCTCTTGATTACTTGTGCCTGATATTTTCTGGAGATCAAATCCAAACCCTAATGAGATATTTATTTTCTTAGGCAGTTTAAAACAACATTTCAACCCAAAAATGTTCCCAAGAAACATTTCCCCCAAATTATGAAGTAGGAAATACCAACAGATCATAAATTCCTCTACTGGTAGTGCTCCATTTACGACCATCATGGTGTCTGTAATCATAAATTGAACCCATTGCTCATTATGGGCTGCTTTTGCCAAAAATTGGAAGCAAATGTGTTTTTTTGGCAAACATGGTCATGTGACTGCAGGATACTACAAACTGGCATAAATGAGGCCTAGTTGCCAAGTGACCAACATGAGGTCAGATGACATTGCAAGAATTTCGGAATCAAGTCGTAAATGCTGGGGAGGGGGGTGTCTGTTGTAACCTCAAATGGTCTCTAAAGCAGGGGTCTCCAACCTTGGCAACTTTTAAGAATTGTGGACTTCAACTTCCAGAATTGAACTCTGGGAGTTGAAGTCCACAAGTCTTAAAGTTGCCAAGGTTGGAGACCCCGGCTTTAAAGGACCGGTCATACATTGAGGACTATCTGTACCTTGGAGAACCACAGCCACAACGAAAGGATACAATGACTTTTCATCTGCAGGCCTAGATCCTTTGAAATATCTTGGCTGCCAATGTTTGCTAACAGCTGGGATTATATTTCTTTTCCAAGAACCTTTCAACCATCTTTGGTAATACTGGTTCTATCAGCTGATATGATATTTGTCAAGTATGATTTAGCACCCTTTAGCTGAGTTAGACTGCAGTCACTCCAGTGATCTCAATGTCTCTGAAAATTTGCCATTCAGTGGTTGTGAGTCCCCGTAGGTTTCTGACCTATCTGGATTTTTTTTTCTGCTGGCCATAAAAGATGGTTTTTGATGTTGTTTCCTTTCTTTTAAAGTATAAACCTCCCAGAATTACCTCAAGTTTGGGGACGGGGATGTCTAAATATATAAATACCAATAATTATCATGGCCATCGTAAGTTCATCTTGGATTGAGGCCTTAAAAACATGCAGTAGATGCTTGACCCAGAATGAACTGTGAATCCACCGAAGTGTTTGAATTTCAGTTTTTATCTTCCCCTGCACTGTTGTTTTTTGAGTGGTTTTATGTTTCGAACACTCCTGTAAGTTCCCTCGGATCGCTTAAGCCTTATAAATCAGTGTTTTTCTCAAACTTGGCAACTGCAAGATATGTGGATTTCAACTCCCAGAATTCCCCAGCCAGCCATTCCCCAGCTAGCTAGCTAAGTAGCTGGGGAATTGTGGGAATTGAAGTCCATATATCTTAAAGTTGCCAAGCCCCAGCTATAAATCAATAAACGAATAAGCAAACTTCTGGCACTTACACGCTTGTTGTTTCTTCTTGCAGAATGTGAACCCTGTACCGTGTCCTTTAAACTCCTTCAAGGTGGGAGGGCACTGTCATATTTCTTTCTATTAACACTAACCAGAAAAACCAAGGCACGAACGGGACGGGGAGAAAAGCAACTATTGTGCGCTGTATGTGGAATTTAAGGAACTATTCTCGTCCCAAAGGTGTTTTTCCAAAAGGCCACAGGATTTTTTTTTTCTTTTCTTTGAAAACGTTTCGCTTCTCATCTAAAAAGCTTCTTTGGTTCTGACAGGAGAGTGGGGAAACTGAAGAAGCTTCTTGGATGAGAAGCGAAAGGTCTTCAAAGAAAAAACACGAAAGTCCAGTTGCCTCCTGAAAAAGCACCTTTGGGACAACCATTTTTTTTTAATTTGATTTATATGCCGCCCTTCTCCGGAGACTCAGGGCGGCTTACAATGTGTTAAGCAATAGCCTTCATACTTTTGTATATTTTATACAAAGTCAGCTTATTGCCCCCACAAACTGGGTCCTCAATTTACCTACCTTAGAAAGGATGGAAGGCTGAGTCGACCTTGAGCCTGGCAAGATTCGAACTTACTAATTGCAGACAGCTGGAGTTAAATTACGATGCATTAGTCTGCTGAGCTATCCAGGCTCCTTGAAACCATGACCTGGATGACTGAGAATCTCTACAGATGAAGATCAATCCAAGAAGCTTCTTTGCTTTTTCAGAACCAAAGAAGCTTCTTGGATGAGAAGCAAAACGTTTTCAAAGAAGAAAAAACAAACAACCAAGGAAGTCCAGTGGCCTTTTGGAAATAAAAAAACCTTTGGGACCAAACTGTGACTTGGATAACCGACCATCTCCATAGACATAAAGGAACTGCTCTCTTATTTGCTCCAACAACTGACTGGTAGGTTTTCATCACCCAGTTCCTTTCCTGGGAATAGTGGTTTGGGCTAAACAAATTGGCCCCACAGAACAGGAATGGGCAAATGTGGCCCTTTTACAACCTGCAAATGTGGCCCTTTTACAACCTGCAAATGTGGCCCTTTTACAACCTGTGGACTTCAACTCCCAGAATTCCTGAGACAGCCAGGCTGTCTCAGGAATTCTGGGAGTTGAAGTCCACAGGTTGTAAAAGGACCACATTTGCCCACCCTTGCATAGAAGAAATGATGATTAAGATTAATTAAGAGGATGCATTTCAGACGTTTTCAAAGGCCAGGGTTCATCTCCCAGAACCGCTGGTCCACAGCCGGCATCGCGCTCGATCAGCAGAAGAGAGAAACCTTCTCTGGCACATCTGGAACCTGGGAAAACCTCCAAATTCAAAGCCTTTTGCCCAGCCCGGCCCGCCTGTTCCGTCCACCACCCTTTGTCCAGATGCGCCCTCAAGCTTGCACGCTGCGGCCCGGCTTACCTAACTCCATGCCCCGGTTGCTAGCAGCCATGATCGGCGGAGAAGCGAAAGTCGATGCTCTCCTTTCACAGCGCTTCCTGGTTACGCCTTTTCCCTCCTTCCCTCCCCTCCCCACCCCCCGTTTTCCTCCTCTTCCTCCTCCTCCTCCTCCTCTTTCTGCCGTCTCCCCTCCAGAAGGGCCCCCAAAACGCGAATCGGATTCACACCTCTTTGGGTGATCGCTTGAAAACCTGCAAAGAAAGCAGGCCCCGCGATTCTGCAGATTATAAAGACAAAGCGGATCCCCACCTGGAGTAATGAGCAAAGAAAAGGAGAGGCAAAAGGCTTTGTGGTTGTGGTGGTGGTTGTTGTTGTCATATTTATTTCTTTCTTTCTTTCTTTCTTTCTTTCTTTCTTTCTTTCTTTCTTTCTTTCTTTCTTTCTTTCTTTCTTTCTTTCTTTCTTTCTTTCTTTCTTTCTTTCTTTCTTTCTTTCTTTCTTTCTTTCTTTCTTTTCTTTCTTTCTTTCTTTCTTTCTTTCTTTCTTTCTTTCTTTCTTTCTACTTGTATATCGCCCTTCTCCCCAAGGGGACTCAGGGCGGCGAACAGCCAAACTTAAAACACATGTAATACAAAAGTTAAGAAAAAACTAAAAATAAATTAAATCATTGGCATTTCCAATTTAAAATCCCAGATCTGCAAAATCTGGGAAAAGTTCCCAATTTAAAACCCAGAATCAATAAAATCGAAAGTTTAAAAAACCCCATTAAAACCATTTTAAGCTAGGCCAGCTTGCTGGAATAAGTAAGTCTTCAGGGCCTTTCGGAAAGCGCGGAGGTCCGGGATCAGTCGGATTCCAGGAGGTAGCTCATTCCACAGGTTGGGTGCCCCCACAGAGAAGGCTCTCTTTTATTCATTAAACATGAAACTCAAAGTCAACTGAACATTTAAACATGACTCACAAATATGATTGACTGCTGCTAACGGTTGATAGGGGTTGCTGCCAGCATCCTAGGTATCAACCAAGTATCTTCTTTAAATTATTATTATTTATTTTATTCATTAAACATGAAAGTCAATTGAACATTTAAAAATGTGTCACAAATATGATTGACTGCTGCCAATGGTTGATAGGGGTTGTTGTCAGCATCCTAGGTATCAACCAAGTATCTTCTTAAAATATATGATGTTCCAAATAGCGCAGTTTTTTGCAGTTCTGCTGGTCTTATTGCAGGGAGCTGTGATTTCTTTATGTCTTTTGTAAAATTCTTGAACATGGTACCAAGTGCCCGATTATTATTGTTGTTGTTGTTATTATTATTATTCATTGAACAGCCAGCCAGATGTTCAGACTGGGTTTGGCATTTTTGTCTACCTATTGAGTCCTTACCAAGGACCTGGGCTAGGCAAATCTGGATGTTTGACGACGTTACAGATATCGTCGCAGGATGGAAGCAGTGCCATGTAAAGCCGCCTTTTGCAATTGACTGATGGCAAATTTGTCAATGCCTATGGTGTTCAAGTGGTGCTCCAGTTGTTTTGGGATTCCACCCAAGGCGCCTATTACTATTGGTACTACCCTTACTTGCCTTTGCCATAGTCGTTCTATTTCTATTTGTAGGTCTTTGTGTTTTGTTATCTTCTCCAGTTTTTTCTCTTCTATTCTGCTGTCTCCAGGCATTGCCACATCCACTATTCAGACTTTTTTGTCTTTCTTATCGACAAGTCCAGGGTGTTATGTGGCAGGTGCCTGTCTGTCTGAATTCTGAAGTCCCAGAACAATTTAACTTCTTCATTTCCTATGACTTTTTCTGTTTCATGGTCCCACCAGTTTTTGCTTACAGGCAAATAATATTTCCTGCAGATCTTCCAATGCACCATTGTTGCTACTTTGTCATGCCACTGCTTGTATTATTTTTATTATTGTTTATTGTTATTATTATTATTAAAAATGCATGCATAGTATGCTTAATACGAACTCATTCATCGCTCAGGGAAAGTGGGGACTGCAAAGATAAAATGGTCTGTTGTCGCGATCAGGGTGGATTTGATTTAAATCGAGTTGATTTAAATCACAATTTAAATCATGATTTAAATCACAAGTAAAAAGGCTTGGTTTAAATCAACTCGATTTAAATCATAATTTTTAAAGAGCAACTGTCATCTCTGCTACTCCTTTGACCCACTGTTGACTCACCGATAGTCCCAGTGTTGCAGAATATACAGCCTCATGCTACATAACTAAGCTCCATTTCATGCTGAATAAACTATTTATGTATCTTAAATAGAAAACTATCTTACGATAGATTTTTACCCCAAAAGTTTTTTATTAAAATAAATTCAATAATTTAAAAAAATCCGATTTAAATAAAAAAAATCTGATTTTTTTGATTTTTTAAAAAATATCATTGATTTTTATCCACCCTGGTCGCAATTGATGTGCTCACACTGCTTTTGGGCTCCTCGATTGCAACAGCCCCCATTAGTACTGCAGTGATTGAGCTGCCTTGATTTTACAACCAGGAGGCCATCTTCACTAATGATTTACAGTTACATCGTCCAGATAAATCAACATTGCAGACTGGACAATGTACAGCAGCCTCTCGGTGTACCAGTTATCACAGGTCGAAATGCAGCCCTTGTTGATCTCCACGTTGTGGTCCGCCAGCAGCCTGCGAACCTGGCGATGTCAGCACTTCAACCTGCATTTACTCTAGTGCTGACATAAGGAGAAGCGAAGGCGTCTGGAAAGGGACGTTTGACTTTTCACCTACTTATTTTCCCTGGAGATTATATCCCCTAGGAGATGAGATGGGAGGGGGGGAATTCCTTTGAGCTGAAGTAGATTAGGGGTAGAATGACTTGGAAGATGGCCAATGAGTGCAGGGGAGTGGGGAACGGAAAGGGAGGGTTTTGGGGCTGGAAGTCAGTGTTGGCTTCGTTTGGAGTCAGGTTAGAATGTCGTGCTTAATAAATAGGAGTTTTTCTTCAAAGACTTTGTTTGAAATGCAATTTATTTGAGACGACCTCGAAACTTGACAGGCAATGGAGTCAGACAGTGAGGAGGCTGGGGAGGACAATGGGCCAGTCCTGGAGTCTGGGGAAGGTCTGGACGAGGGCTCTGCGTCGGAGGCAGAGATGGGGCCAGGGCCATCTGGGAGTGATGCACGGACTCCGGAGCCTCCAGAGGCGGACAGAGAGAAGCAGAGGAACAGGAGGAGCCTGTTCCTAGTGCACGCATGCGAAGAGCTGCCAGAAGGCAAGAGCAGCTGAAGAAAAAAGGACAATTTGGGAGTAAGGCCAGAAGATGATTGGCCTCTCCCATAAGGCTGAAAAGAGCGGCTTCTTGTCAGCGTCTCTTGAACTTTGTGGTGGTTTTGCCAAGAAAAGCCTTTGGCAGGTTGCCAAAGACATCAAAGGTTGGTGATAAGGCCAATGGACTGGTTATGAAGAATTTGTTTTGGACTAAGATGAAAATGAATTAATTCTCAGCTGTTTTAATAAAGTAAATTTGTTGAGGACTGAATTGTTTTTGGTAATCACTACTTGGGCCTTGGTCACAACACCACAGTCATGGAGTTTAACGGCTAAATGTAGGCTTTGCTTTCCCCCCTCCCCCTCCTCCAGCCAATAAAGTAGGCATATCGGGCCAGTGATAAAATGACGGGGAAAGAGTCCATCAACTTACCTTCTCAGAGAAAAGGTAGGAAAGGAATGTCACATTTGGAATCCGGCAAGAAAGGATAATTCAGCGATTCACAATTTATTGGGTTTTTGACGAAGGGGCCTCTGGCCTTACAAAAGTTTTAGGCGGGGGGCCAGAGAAGTGTCATTTTCTCCCTGCGGAAGTGTTAAGAACTGCAAATTTTCAATTGTTGTTAAAAGCTGTGCCAATAGCATCGGCCGCTGTTCTTGAGGTCAAAAAATAGTAAATATAATTGCTTCAGAAAGCCCTCCTTCCTGAGTTTCATAATGCAAAAGTTCTGACCTTCACTAGAGGCGTCATTGGGTTCCACTGGATGACAAATGATATTTGCTTGGAATCCACCTACATCCTAGCTTTTCAGTTACCTTCTTGGCTTAAACGTTGCGCTGATAATGGGGTGAAGGAAGCCACAAGGAGAGCTGCGTATTTTGGAAGGTGCAACTGATTGTAGGATGTCTTACGTTTGCAGTATTGTCCCTCATCTTTCTTTGCAAAATAGTTTGAATTGCAAGCAAGGATTAATAACACACCATAACCTTCTTATCAGCTAAGAACAAAAGGCCAGCCGTGGTGGAACGGAGTAGGTTAGTGACTCTGCACATGTATGTACAGAAACAAATGGTGCCAATAAACCTGCCATTTCTTTTATTGCTTCCAAGATGAAGCTCCAAAACCATTGCTGCATTAACCGTTTCCAAACATTTTTCACAACGAAAATGCAAGATATTGCAGAATGTGGTAAATTTGAAGACTATGCATGTGTCAAGAAGGTAGCTCTCAACCTTATGGCCAACAATTTGGGACTACACTTTGTTGCTAAGCAAGGCAGTTTTTTTATTTTTTTTATTTTTATTTATTTTTATATGCCGCCCTTCTCCGGAGACTCAGGGCGGCTTACAATGCATTAAGCAATAGCCTTCATACTTTTGTATGTTATACAAAATCAGCTTATTGCCCCCACAAACCGGGTCCTCATTTTACCCACCTTAGAAAGGATGGAAGGCTGAGACGACCTTGAGCCTGGTGAGAATTGAACTCGCAGTAATTGCAGGCAGCTGGATGTTAAATGCTGCCTTAGTAGGAGGCATTAGCCTCCTACGCCACTCAGGCTCCTAGTTATTGAGTCATGCCCGATTTTTACTTTACTTGCCTTGTATGTTAAGCAAATCACTGCAGTCGTTAAGTGAATAGTGTGATTGTTATGCAAATCGGGCTTTCCCCATTGACTTTACTTGTTGGAAGCCAGCTGGGGAGGTCACACATGGCAATCACGTGACCCTGGGACTCTGCAACTGTAGTAAGTGTGTGTTGTTTGCCAAGCGCTCAAATTTTGATCACAAGACAGTGGGGAGGCTGCATTAAGAGTAAGTCACTTTTTTTCCAGTGCCGTCGTAACTTTGGATGGTCGCTAAATGAATAATTGTAAGTGGAGCACTACCTGTAATCTCTGCAAGATCTACCCTTGAACATTTCAATAGGAAGGGAGCACACACAGAATGGGAAATCTTTCTTATAGGAAAATGAACATCCTGTATTTTTCTACTACATAGCTAATGGCATCAGGTTATCATATCCTTGTACTTACGTACAGATGGAGGGTTCAGGCAAAAATGTCTGCCAGAAACGAATGCAAAAAAAGATGGAGCAGCAAGATACAGGGGGAAAAAAATTACTGCATTTGTAAGCAACCAAGAGAGTTGGTGCTCTAGAATCAGCCGATTCATTCAAATTTTGTTTTTGTTAACACTCTCAGACCTTCCCACTAGAAAAAGACCGTCTGCAAAAACAAACAAACAAACCAGTATCCAAGGCTAGGCTACAATTATTCTTCCTGTATTATTTGATTTTGTAATCTGTATTCAAAATGCAGTAATGTTATTATTTCTCCTAAAGGCCATATTCCAAAAGGCATGGTCCTATATAACTGTAGATTCAGGGGATACGTTTTTCATCTTTTTCACATTCTTTTCCACTAAAGATGGAGAGTATTCTTTTTAACCAATCCATCCTAATAACTGCATTAATATTTCAGGTATTTTACTACCTCCATAGAATCCGTGTGTCGCAGAGTTCATCTTAATTCTCAGCTCCCCTTGCGCTGACAGAACGCTCTGTTAGAATCTTTTTCAACATTGAACCTGCCAGATTTGCTGAACTGCATCGTTCAGATCATAGATATGAGTGTAAGACGATTTACTGCAACTCAATGGATACCTATAGAGGAAGAGGATGGGAAAGGCTGTTCTAAAATAATGGGCTTGTATTCCTTTTATGTTGGATGTAGTGTATTCTGAACACATGCTGCCATTTCTTAAACGTCAATGGCCGATCTTATATTTAGTCTCCAGTTAATGCAGATGACTCTTTAAACCACCATTTTATTCCTATGCAGCATATGAATTATTTGATGTATACATACAGTTCGTTTTTGGAAAAAAAAAACACACATTAAAAATCATATAGAAATACTTAGCTGCTTCCGTTTAAAAGAAGTCCAGAAGAAATACAATGGCTAAGTAGGTATGTTTTGACAATAGGGTAAATTCAGATAGTATATGAACAATTTCGACCAGAGGCAATTAATATAGGGATGCTCCTTCACATGTTATCTTTTTAGAGATAAATTTTGAATTACCAAGTTTTACTGGAGAAGAACACACAAGCTTCAAGCAGCAGGGCATTCAGCCACCTATCGTGCAAAACACACCCCCAAACCTTACTCTCTCCCCCCCGTTTTCTTTTTTTTAAAATACAAAGCCCCAGGCTATTCAATACTGTTCAGAAACAGATGAATTAAACCTGGTAAGCTTTATAACGTTTTCTAGGAGTGCGATCGTAGGAGCATTTTATTTAGATGATTTGGAAACAGAAGCAGTGTACAATAAAATTGGGAGGGCAAAAATCCCTTAAACCACAAATATTTTATTTAACCAAATAACCCCCTGCCTTTTGTTCCCCCTTCCCCACTTTCAGAGAACATACTCTAACCAAGATACCGTTACATTTCTCCTCAATAATAAAACACTACAATGACTTAATCTTAACACTGGAGAAAAAACAGGATCTCGGCGCCTGGTTATGTTCAGACTTAACAAAAGGCAATGACGCTTAAAAGACAGCCAAACCGTTAACTTTTTTTTTTTTTGTCTCTATTCACCTTTCGACAACCTGTTCCTATGCATTCTCATCAATTACTGCCTCTCTATTTGCCTTCGATTCACTTTGCGCACCCCCCCCCGGGAGAGGCTGTTGCATATGACTGCTGTTTGTTTGTTTGCTTTTTCCATTTTTTTCTTTTTGGGGATCGAATCTCAACGAGTTCGCGTGTGTTGTCCTTAACGGCCGTGGCGCTCAAGCCTTAACTTCAGGAGGTGTACTGTAGATGGAATCTGTGTTTTCAGAGCCAAGGTCTTCTGCCAAGTTGAGCATGAGGGAAGAACAAGAAGAAGAAAAAAAAAATCCTCCGTTAACTTTTAGCAGAGGTTAATTAAAAAATATATGTATTGCCATGCCTGTATTTCACCCATAACTCAGTTATCTATTCCAGTCTACAGATCCTAGGGTTTGCTCCTGGAAGTAGCATCCGGTCACAGTTGGCCTTTTAAGCCAGTAAGGTAAAAGGTAAAAATTCCCCTCGCACATACGTGCTAGTCGTTCCCGACTCTAGGGGGCGGTGCTCATCTCCGTTTCAAAGCCGAAGAGCCAGCGCTGTCCAAAGACGTCTCCGTGGTCATGTGGCCAGCATGACTAAATACCAAAGGCGCACGGAACGCTGTTACCTTCCCACCAAAGGTGGTCCCTATTTTTCTACTTGCATTTTTTACGTGCTTTCGAACTGCTAGGTTAGCAGAAGCTGGGACAAGTAACGGGAGCTCACCTTGTTACGCGGCACTAGGGATTCGAACTGCTGAACTGCCGACCTTTTGATTGACAAGCTCAGCGTCTTAGCCACTGAGCCACAGCATCCCTAACTTAACTTTAACTTTAAGCCAGTAGGCTAGTGTGAATCTCCCTCTTGTGATCTTCCAACCAACACCAGCCCAAAAACAAGGAATGTTATCTTCCAGACATTGTGAGGTTTTTCCAAAAAAAAAAAGGCCAGTTAAAATATTGGTGCTACAAGTAGTCCTCGACTTACGACCACAATGAGCCACAAAATTTCTGTCGTTAAGTGAGACAGTTAAGTGAATTTTGCCCCATTTTTACAACCTTCCTGGCCTCAGTTAAGTGAATCACTGCAGTTGGTAAGTTAGTAACCCGGTTGTTAAGTGAATATGGCTTCTCCCTTGCTGCTTGGAAGGTCACAAAAGGGGATCAAACGATCTTGGAACACATTAGTAGTCATTAAAATAGGAACCAACTGCCAAGCATCTAAATTTTGATGACGGGGATGCTGGAAAGGTCGTAACTAAAAAACGGTCATAAGTCACATTTTTCAGTGCCGTTGTAACTTTGAACAGTCACTAAACAAACTGTTGTAAGCGGAAGACTACCTCTATTAAAATATTTTAATGGAAACGAGATAGAAAATGATCATAGTTTCATAGCGTATCCTCTGTTTTCATAGGCTGGACTTTTAACTGCCAGGGAAATTCTGGGAGTATGAGTCCACCCATCTTAAAGTTGTCAAATTTGAGAAACACTGTTTAACGTGATTCATATTGGAACTTTTATATCTCTTCAGTTCTTACTTGCTACCTTATCCTACACACCGAAAGGTCAACCTCTGGTTGTGGTTAGATTCTACCATTCAATCATTACCTAATTCTTCTTCTGCAGTTCCTGGAAGGTTGACTTTAGCCTTAGCCAGCTCTCCACCTTCTTCCTCTGGAGAAAGAGAATTAGAAAATTAGAAATTAGAATTAGAAAATTAGCCATAATTTTACGTCATTCAACTTGTCACTTTCATAAACATTTACAAAACAGACAGCCTTCCGCCAGGCACAAAACATGTTCCAGAGCTGTTTGATATGATTTTCCTTCAGATAAGGCTGCCTGGGGATGATCTATCTACTCTCTTACATAGATATGCATCATGAACCAGCTACAATTTACTGGCCTTAGAAAAGCAACAGTTTTCCATTTCAGGTCACGGCAGTTGGTGGGAGAGAGCTCTACCTCCTTCTTAATAGCCTTCAATCCACCCCATCCCTGATGCCTGAAGGAAAACCTCTACCTAGCCTTCTCAAAGGATGATATTAGGTGGTTTCTTTCACACGCAGCATCACTAACCCCAACAGGCCCAGATGAAAGTGGTACAATACAGGATTGGCATTTTAATGGCAAGTTTTAATCAAAACGCACTGCCCAATCTTTTCCTGCTATACAATCTGATCAGGTGTTGGTAAGTTACTGAGCAGCGAAGCCAAAAGAAATGCAGGTAATCCTTGACTTATGGCCACATTTGGGACCAGAATTTCAGTTGCCGAGGGAGGCAGTTGGTTAAGTGTAGTGCCCAATTTTATGACATTTTTGCCATGGTCGTTTTGCCATGGTCATTAAACGAATTGGGATACCCTCATTGACTCTGCTTATCAAAAGCCAACTGGGAAGGTTGCAACTGGCAACCTGGGTGTCCCTTGCAGCTGGATGCTGCAGCTGTGATAAATACATGGCCAAGGGCCCAAATTTTGATCGTATGACTGTTAAGGGCAATGCCAACGGTTGCGTTACTTTTCTTCACAACCAAACTTCAAACGGTCACACAGAATGAATGGTCGTTAAGTCGCAAGACTGCCTCCGCTTCGGTAGAATTCTGTAGTTAATTATCTCGTAAATCAGAGAACAAACAAGTTAGCGAACGCTTGGGTCCCAATAGAAAAAACACTTCTTACCAGGAATCACACATTTCCAGAGACCATATGTTTTCCCTACTGTCGTCTGCCACAGCCTCAGCGTTCCGTCCTCTGAGCCGCTAGCATACAACTCTCCATCTGGGCTAAATCTGACACAGTGAATCGGCCCAAAGTGCCCCTTGTAAGATTCTGCAAAGAAATTGTAACACGTCAATAAGGAGAGGGAAAGCACCGAAAGGACTCAGCTCAAGCTTTTAAGGAAACAACAAAAAGAGAGAGAGCTTTGCCCTGCGATGGGGCTTCAAGCGAAAAATTCTGCCTTCTCTTGTGGAGCAACATTAAGGAGGCCTCAAATTTTAGAAAAGCATCGCTTGTAGGATGTAACAGAAGGGCCCTCTGATGGCCTGGATGTGAACTTGCCACCAGAAAAGAGATGAGATTAGGGGATATTGCAGGAACCAGAGGTAGATAAGACTTTTATTGTTAAAAGTGAAGACAAAAACCACATCAGCTCACACTCAATATTATTCTATCCCTGTTCAGGGATGTTAACTGAGAATTTCCTAGAGGGTTCACTGCAAGGATGAGAAACTCAAAATTCAATATCAATCTCCCTGATATAAATAGCCGGTATAGTATCAAACTCAAGGCCTGCGGGGTGCTTAGATCTGGCCCGTGGAGCTGCCCTGGAAACAGCGAAAGACTGGCCTGAGCTGCCTCTGCCAGTGAAAATGGAGCTCGGGAGGGCAGTGAATGGCCCTCCTAAACTCAGTTTTTGCTGGAAGAGGATTTTAGGAGGCCATCGCAGCCGAAAATGGAGCTCGCAAGGGCTGTGGGCGGCCTTCCCAAGCTCCATTTTCACTGGCAGAGGGTTGCAGGAAGCTGTTGCAGCCAAAAATGGAGCTCAGGAGCCTGTTTTCACTGGCCGAGCATTTGGGCCCCCACAGGCTCCCCTGAAACAAATGACGTTGATGTGGCCCTCAATGAAATCGAGTTTGATACCCCTGGTGTAGTGGGTTAAGTGTGGGACTAGGAGCAGGAAGATCCAGGTTGAAGTTCACCATTGATCACCAAAGTTTCCTCTTGAGGAAATATGGGCTAGTCATTCTCATTCAGCCCAATCTATTTTACAGGGTTTGCTGTTGTAGGGAAAAAAAGGAAGATGGAGCAGCATATATGCCATCCTGAGCTCCTATATGCAAAGAATAGGATGTGACTCTAATGAATACCGTTACCGTTATCTCTATGCCCAGGTGGGTCACAGAAACACAGGTCAAGGATTAATAATTAAAGAGTGATAAATATTCTCTGGCATGAAAGTAGTACAGGGAAATTTGGGATTTTTCCAGCAAAACTACAAAGAGAACTTTGGCAAAAGCCATAGGAAGTAAAAAATAACCAACTTTCTGTATGGATCCAGTCCAGTCAAAACGAACTAATTACACCTATACTTGTGACTTTTGAACTTTTGCACGATCAAGATCCAGTTTTACCAATAGCTTTCAAATACTGAACACATTTTAGCTTTTTAAGGCGCCATTTTCTATCTGTATGTATGTATGTATGTATGTATGTATGTATGTATGTATGTATGTATTTATTTATTTATTTATAAAATTTGTATGCCACCCTATCTCCAAGGACTCAGGGCGGCTCACAACAACAATCGACCAAGCGACTGTTAAAATCAACAAATATACACAAAAATATGAAAAGTTTTAAAAAATTTAAAATATACTACCCCATCAGTCCAGGCTCGGGGACATAAATAGCCAGGTTTTCAATTCACGGCGGAAGGTGCGAAGGTCAGGGGCCAACCAGAGCCCCAAGGGAAGTTGATTCCAAAGGGTGGGGGCGCTCACAGAGAAGGCTCTACCCCTGGGGGTCGCCAGCCGACACTGTCTAGCCGACGGCACCCTGAGTAGGCCCTCCCTGTGAGAACGCACCGGGCAATGGGAAGTTGATGCTGGTTGCAGGTGGTCCGACAAATACCCTGGGCCTAAGCCATGAAGGGCTTTATAGGTTAACACCAGCACCTTGAATCTCACCCGGAAGGCAACCGGCAACCAATGCAAGCCACGGAGGAGAGGTGTAATATGGGAGTATCGGGTCCCTCCGCAACAACCCGTGCGGCCGCATTCTGTACCAGCTGAAGCCTCCGGGTGGTCTTCACGGGCAGCCCCAGGTAGAGAGCATTGCAGTAGTCGATCCGGGAGGCGACTAGCGCATGAGTTTTTGCTCAATCTGTCTATTAATATCCCTTCTCCTGCAATCTTGCCCAAACTTTTAATACCTAATGGCAGGAGTTCTAAATTTCCTTATCTTTCCTGCCACAGAAAAAAAAGTATTTCTGCCCCTTTAATTGCACTCGATTCTTGCAACAGATGGCATTGAAAAAAATGGTGAGGTGTTTTTCCCCCCAAAATGGCGGCATTTTTGGCTGCAGCTACTTCAGTTCTCAAAAGTATTGCGGTTTTGAAGATAAATGAGCCATCCGGATGAGTGACCTTTTTTTTATTTATTTTTTTAAAGAATTGAGTTATCAGCTAACTATAAGAAAAAGGAATTAGGAGCCTTACTCTTGTCTATTTTTTATCTATATCTCACCCATAGAAAGACATGAGCACACAGTATTCTGCTAATTATAATTGGGTCTACGTGCAAACATATATATCATCTCTGCAATATGAGTGATGCAAAAGTGACTTGAACACAATCGCATATAAACACATGCAGTTTGAGAAACATCATCATCTGTTTAAAGCCACAATTCAAGGTCCAGTGGAATGAAATGAGTACAGTACCAACTTGATAATTATGAGTTAGGATTGTTATCAATGCTTTGCTAATTCCCCCAAAACTTTCAAGTTTAAACTTTTACAATTAGCAGTTAAGATGGTTGTTGTTTTTTAAACAGCCATGAAATTCATCCAAACATGCCCTGAAGGTCATTTAAATATATCACATACCTAATTCTTCACCGGTATTATAATCATATTTATAAAGTTTAAAATCTTCACCGCCAGCAACTAGACATTCTTTCTCCGGATGGAGAGACGCAGAATTGATTGTTGCAGGTGCCTCAAACGATTTAATCGGTTCCAGACTATGGAGAGAAAACAAAAAGCACGATGATTATTTTTTTAAAAAGAAAATCCGATATTGAACAAAACACTAAAACATGTCAAAGAAGAGGCTTGGTGGAGCCTTGGTGGAGCAGCGGACTAAAGTGCTGTTAAAGTAGTACTTAGCTGCCGACTGCCTGCAATTACTGTGAGTTCAAATCTCACCAGGCTCAAGGTTGGCTCAGCCTTCCATCCTTCTGAGGTAGGTAAAATGAGGACCCGGATTGTGGGGGCAATAAGATGACTTTGTATAAAAAAAGAACACCGCTGGGGGGGGGGGCGGGGGCAAAAGCCCTACTAAGCAGGTATATACAAAAGTATGAAGGCTATTGCTTAACGCATTGTAAGCCGCCCTGAGTCTCCGGAGAAGGGCGGCATATAAATTGAACCAATAACCAATAAGAAAACACTATAAGGAGGGATTTTTATTTGAATGAAATTCACTTATCAGAAAGCTGAGTGCTTGTTAGCAAAAAGAGATCCATTTTTAGAGGACGGTGATTTTTATTTTTGTAATATATTTTGCACAATAAAAGTAAGGCACACTTGAAAAGAAACCAAAGGAAACTTCTGTAAAAAGATTTGAGATTATAGTTATCATTTGCAATCAGATGCACGGATTTTCCCTTAGATACAGATAGATACACACACACACAAAATGCCAGGGGTGGCAGGGATAACAAGAGTTCCTTTTGCTCTGTAGCCTAGGCCAGGGTTCTCCAACCTTGTCAACTTTAAAGACTTCTGGAGTGGCACTTGAAGTCCACAAGTCTTAAAAGTTGACAAGGTTGGAGACCTCTGGCCTAGGCAATGGAGCTTGAGTGCCACTATTACATAGACCAGGAAACAACTATCACAGCAAAAAGAAACCAACAACTCTTTTTTTTTAGCAAAGAAAAATATATATACTCTGAAGGTCATTTAAATACACTGCTCAAAAAAATAAAGGGAACACAAGCAGAAGACATCCGAGATCTGAATGAATGAAAAGCCTTATTAAATACTTTGTTCATTACATTACAGTAGTTTTGTGTTCCCTTTAGTTGTTTGAGCAGTGTATAAACTACTGTATGTAAAGAACAAAGTATTTAATAAGGCTATTTCATTCATTCAGATCTCGGATGTCTTCTGCTTTTGTTCCCTTTATTTTTTTGAGCAGTATATAATCACATGCCTAGTTCTTCAGCGGTATTATAATCCTATTTATAAATTTTAAAATCTTCCCCACCAGCAAACTAGACATTGTTTCTCTTTTTCAGCAAAAACAAGTAGGCTTGAATACATGTACTAATGTAAAGTATAGAAATTATTTAGACTGATGCCATGATAGGCACACTGTCTCTACAGGCTATTCTACGCTTGACCAGTTTGTCTGCATGGCCTGATGAATGAAACACACACGTGTTAAAAACAAACCTACGTTTCTGCACTGTGAAAGGCAATGGTCCGGCCATAGGTGATGACTATTATCTCCCCTTCACGCACATATTCCATGCTACTCACGGACATGGCAACGTTGATCGCCTTCACTTCTGTCAGTGTATTTCTGTCCCAGAGCCTGAAGTGGAGAGACAAGAGTGAAATTTATTTAATTCATAATTGCAATCCGGTAAGTCAAAACACCAAACACTCCTGGATAAAATGCTCTTTGCTACCATGATAATCTCTCAACCTACTTACAATATAGTTTAGGCATATCAAGTTTTTTTTTTTTTAATTGTCATTGCTGTTACACAAAAAGAAAAACATGTTACATTTATTCCGATTACGCATTCACCCACTTTGAGTGTGAATGAATGCAGAACCCAGTGAACGTGGAAAAAAAGAGGGAGAAAATGAGAGGGAGAAAATGAGACGTATTTAACCTAACAAATCCTACATATTGGAAGTAATTCTAACATCTGATTGATAATGGAAGAGCAACAAACTCTTAAAAGGAAACTTAAATGGTCAATTACTTTAGTATTTAACGGGTCATCAACAAAACTACCTGACAACACCACAGTTAGTCCTCAATTTACAACCATTCATATAGTGTCCATTTGGAGTTACCAGAGCACTGAGCAAAGTGTCTCACAACCAGCCCTCACGCTTACGACCATCACACCATCACCACAGACACATAACTGAAACTCAGGCACTGGCAACCACCATGGACCTATGACAACTGCCGAATCCTGGGGTCATGTGATCTCCATCTGTGACCTTCCCAACCAGCTTCTGACAAGCCAAGTCAATTGGGGAAGTTGGATTCACTTAACAACTGTGTGATTCACTTAACAATGGCAGCGATCTGCTTAACAACCAAGGTTAAAAAAGTTGTAAAATTGGCGCGACTCACTTAAACAACAGAAAGTCTGGTTCCAATTGTGGTTGTAAGTTGAGAACTTCCTGTATGACCCGCCAGAGTCACCTTATAGGGGAAATGGCGGCACAGAAATTTAATAAAAGAAATAAAATGATCAACAGTACTTTCCCAGCAGTCTTAATCAGAAGTCTTAACCCAGTGTTTCTCAACCTGGAGGATGAGGGGACTTCTACTCCCAGAATTCCCCAGCCAGATATTCTGGGAGTTGAAGTCCACATATTTTTCAAGTATCCAAAGTTGAGAAACACCGTCTTAACCAATATCCCAAGTTCAGACTTAAACACAATTCAAACCATGATATGATTTTATGGGTCATTTGGTCAGACGGAATACCTGTTAAACCAGGGGTCCCCAAACTTGGCAGCTTTAAGACTTGTGGACTTCAACTCCCAGAATTCTCCAGCCAGCTGGCTGGAGAATTCTGGGAGTTGAAGCCCACAAGTCTTAAAGCTGCCAAGTTTGAAGACCTCTGTGTTAAACTAACATCATTTCCACAATTATGGAATTGAAATCATTTATGCCTTATGAAACTGTTAAGATCGCTCGTATAATTTACACAAATCATGCAACTTTACTCCTATCATCTACTTTATGTCCAACGGTATGGTTCTGGGGAGTGAAATCTGAACTACAGTTTCGTCAATTGCTTCCAGTTAGCTGAACAGTAAAAATCAAGGTTTTACCATACGCCAATATGTTCCATGGTCATCTCAAAGTTACAACACAGCCCAATTTTAACAGAGAGTACAATGGAAATGAATTTTTAAAAGCATTTGTTTGAAATCAATTTCCAATATGGGAAACAATACTGACAACTATTAATATAATAAAAACACATCCAAAAAGTTTCTTACTATCAATTCGAAAACATGTTTTCCATTTACTGGATACCCTAATGAATATTTAAGATTGGCTGTCAAGTTGAATATTCTGAAAGTATAAATAGAGAATTGTGCACGTGATACAAACTTGTACTACTGTGGCCACCATTTGTTTAAGATCCCCCATGTTGGTAAGATCAGTATGGTTTAAGTTCCGTATTTTTCGGAGTACAAGACGCACCATTTTCCCCGCTAAAAGGGGATGAAAATTTAGGTGCATCTTATACATCAAATGTAGCCCCGTCCACCCACTGGCCTCTGCCTCCCAGCAGTTACCTCCTTGCAAGCAAACAGCAAGAAAAAAACAGCTCCTTTCAGCTTCAGCACAGTCTAATTAGCACAAGTTGATTGGATCGGCCTCCCAACTCTCAGCTGATTTGCTCTCAGCTGTTTTGCGCAGGGCTCTGCTGCTTGCTGCAAAGAGGTAAATTGCTGGAGCAGATTTTTTTTTTCCTTGTGCTAATCAAGCTATGCTGAAAATGAAAATAAAAGTAAAGCAGGCTGTTTGCTGCAACAAGGCAAAATTGCTCAGAGGCAGAGGGAGATTTCTTTTTCTTCTTTTCCTCACCAAAAAAGGGAGGTGCGTCTTATACTCCGAAAAATACGGTATATGAACATACTCTTCAATTGTAGACTGTATTTCTGTAACTTTTGATGTATTTGTACTAAATGTGTGATCACTTGTGAAAGCTCTAATTCTCTGCTTATAAGCATGGCTGGCTGGGAATTTCCGGGAGTTGAAATCCACACATCTTAAAAGACCCTGAGATTGAGAAGCCCTGCAATAAATCAGGGACTGCTTGTCTCCCAACCGGTAAAACCACAACACGTAAGACTTGCTGCTTAAAATTAGATAGAGGAGTGCAGTTTGGGAGCAAACTAAGAAAGGAAAATGAAAAAGAGCTGAGGTCAGCTGTTCTAAAGAAAACAAATCCCAGCTTGAACATGTGCAAGCACTTTGCTTCTTAAAATTAAATACTATATACCACTCTTCTTGATACCCTGACAGCCTTTTGCACTTAGCTCTAACTGAGGGATACCGGAATCTGAGTAAAAATCAAATTGAACCTGAATCACAGCATAGGTAGCCCTCGCTTAAAGACCAGTTGCTCAGCAACCATTTGAAGTTACAATGCATCTCCCCAGAACTACTACTTAGGACCCATTTCTGGAGTTCCAAAATCCCCCCCCCCGCCCCCGGTCACATCATCTTTTGGACACTTGGCAACCGGCTCACATTTACAGCTATTTGTGACATCCTGGTCACATGATTGTGACTTTTGAAGGCTTTTTTGCCAGTTTCCAGAAAAGAGCGGTCACTGAATAATAAATAAAGTACTACCTCTTACAATACTAGACAAACACAGTATCAACAGTAGAGACCTTCAAATTTCTAGGTTCTGTCATATCTCAAGACCTAAAATGGACACCTAACATCAAAAACGTCATCAAAAAAGCACAACAAAGAACGTTCTTTCTGCGCCAACTCAGGAAGTTCAAAACTGCCCAAGGAGCTGCTGATCCAGTTCTATAGAGGAATTATTGAGTCTGTCATCTGCACCTCTATAACTGTCTGGTTTGGTTCTGCAACCCAACAAGACAGACACAGACTTCAGAGGATAATTAGAACTGCAGAAAAAACAATGGCTACCAACCTGCCTTCCATTGAGGACCTGTATACTGCACGAGTCAAAAAGAGGGCTGTGAAAATATTTACAGACCCCTCGCATCCTGGACATAAATTGTTTCAACTCCTACCCTCAAATCGACGCTATAGAGCACTGCACACCAAGACAACTAGACACAAGAAAAGTTTTTTCCTGAACGTCATCACTCTGCTAAACAAATAATTCCCTCAACACTGTCAAACTATTCACTAAGGCTGCATTACTATTACTATTAGTCTTCTCATCGTTCCCATCACCCATCTCCTCCCACTTATGACCGTAACTTTGTTGCTTGTATCCTTACGATTTATATTGATATTGTTTCCTGATTGCTCATTTGTACCCTATGACTATCATTAAGTGTTGTACCTCATGATTCTTGGATGAATGTATTTTATTTTTCTTATGTACACTGAGAGCATATGCACCAAGGACAAATTCCTTGTGTGTCCAATCACACTTGGCCAATAAAGAATTCTATTCTATTCTAAAATGGATTCATTGAAGAACAGCTGCAACAAAGGTTGTAAAATCAGACACAATTGCATAAAATGGACCACCGCAATTTACGACATAATTCCAGCCTCAATTACGATAGTAAATCCAGAACTACTTGTAGTGAAAGACATTGACTCACATGGTAAAGCCCAATGTGTGGAAAGCCAAGCATGTATGCTCAAATTCAAAACCTAGTTTTATAGTGAAGGTGATAACTGGACAATTCCACTACCCATTTCTTTTATAGCACTAAGGGAAGAGGCACTGATGATTTCTTACCTGACTGTTTTATCATCTGCCGAAAGGATCTGCGTATCATCACTGCTCCACAGAGCCTTTTTAATACCAGACGTGTGACCACTGACCACCTCAGGTTCTGAAGAGTAGAGGAAATATTTTGTATTTAAAATGAAAAACCTCTTTTCTTACATTTCAGTAAGGTCGTATTTCCCACTACATCCGTGGTTAACAAATAAAAATAACGGAAGTAATTATTGTATATTAGAGCATATAGTGCATGTTCGGATATTTCGGGATATTCCCATGCATACAGGGAAAGATTAAAGAAAAACAGAGGAAGAATATATCACGTTTCTCCTTGCTCCCATGGGGCTAAATTCCTTTGTCAGCTTTGGGCATAAAAAGTCCTCCTTATATGACTATATGCATTTACCCTTCTTACTTCAGGAAGTGATAAGACAGTTCTGCCATTTTCACTTCTTCCCTTGCCTATTCCATTGAGTAGGGCCATGGACTCCTGTCCTAAGTTCCCACTCTGATATTATGATAATAAAGGCAATCCAATTTATTTACATTAACAAAATTAGCTGTTCAAAGTTTTGGGTTTTTTTTTTTGCAATAAAGTTCAGGATCATATTCTGTCCTTTCCCAAAGATGCTTTTTCAAGAGGAAACTGGACTTTCTTGTTTTTCTTTGAAGACGTTTCACTTCTCATCCAAGAAGCTTCTTTAACTCTGACTGGATGGTAGGGAATGGAAGGATTTATATTCCTTGCAGACAACTGGTCATTTGCATTCTTTTAGAGAGTCGTTGAGGTCACCTGGAGGTTTATCTGTGCAAATCGGTGTGGAGCCTTCTTGGAACTGCTGAAAGGACTGTGTTGTAGACTGGAGAAGCTTCTTGGATGAGAAGCTAAAATGTCTTCAAGGAAAAAGACCAGTTGCCTCTTGAAAACGCACCTTTGGGACAACCATGACCTGGATGACTGAGAATCTCCCTAGACATTCTGTCCTTTCCTGTATTTTGTTTGGTGAACTGAAGATTTTGCACGCATTTTGTCTGAATCTGTGGTTTTTCTTAATCACAGTTTTCTTATTTGTTTGTTTAGTTGACATCCCCAACTCTCAGGTATTCTGGCCAGTTATAAATAAAAAAAATATTAAAACCAGATGAAAAAAGTCAGCTTGCTGGGCCTTCAAATTAGCACAGAAATATTTGCAACTTCTAGTATTCATTTTACTGATTCATAGAAATAATAATATTAATAAAAAAAAACCTCACCTGCCTCTGGCTTGTTTAAATCATAGATACGTAACAATTTATCTTGTCCACCTGTCAACAAGTAATTGCTGTCCTAGAAGAGGAAATTAGCATTGTCATTTATTGAGAAAGTTGGTTATATGCCGAACCTTTTAAAATCTTATTAGTTAAAAAAAATAAATCAGTAAAATTAGTGATAGGCCGACTATCTTCAGAAAAGCAAAGGCAGAGTCAAAATCTTGAAAATCAAGACAGACAAAAAGACATTTGTACTTTTTCTTTTTACCTGAGTGAAGTCCACTGATTTGACAATATGCTTGTGAGCCAGCGTGAGGAGTTCATCTCCTGAAATACCATCCCACAGTTTGCTGAAACAAACAAATAAACAAAAAACTAATGACATGGTATTTTCAGAAAGCTCCAGATACAGACTTCCTTTGCCCAAAATTGTTAGCTTTCTAGCTATTGTTTGACTTAATGAGTTGAGACCTGATAAGAGCTTAAAGTTGCTGCAAGTATTTCCATATCCAACAAACTCTTCACTTACGCAGTAAAATCTGCAGCGGCTGTAGCTGCTTTAGTGGCATCATTATTCAACGTGGCTCCCCAGACTGCTCCCTTGTGACCAAGAAATGTTCCAATCCAGTCCCCTGTGTCACCCTGTCGAAACATCGGTTTGCCATCTGGGAGGGGGAAAAAAAAAGTAAGACAATCTCAAATACACAGCATCTACTTGTTTAGAGGTATTTGTAAATTCAGAAAACGGCTACAGAGCATCCAGGCCGTCCTTGACTAATAACCCCAGTTGGGGCCAGAATTTCTGTTACTAAGCAAGGCGATTAAATGAGTTGCACCCGGATTTTATGACCTTTTTTTGCCACGCTTGCTGGGTGAATCCCTGCAGTTGTTAAGTGAATCGTGTGGTCATTAAACAAGTCTGGTTTCCCCTACTGACTTTGCTTATTGGAAGCTGTCTGGGAAGGTCGCAATGGTGACCCTGGAACACTGAAACTGTCACAAATATTTTTCCCAGTTGCCAAGCACCAGAATTTTGATCATGTGACCGTGGGGATGCGATGATGGTTGTACATGTGTGGACCAGTCAAAAGTCACTTTTTTCAGTGCCATTAACTAAATGAATGGTTGTAAATCGAGGACTACCAGAGGTAGAAAGTCCCATGTAGGTTAATAAGGAATTCTAATGTTACCAAAGTGTTACAAAAATTGCCTTGGATTATTTTTTCAGCTGTGATCCAAGAACTTCAACATATGGCAGCTTGCCTGCTAATTGCATAACCAAACAACCACTCTTCGCAGATAGACAAATGTATTTTAATTATGTGTCTTCCAGTTGATGTCAACTCTGAGCAACCACAGAGAAATATTCTTTGGGACTTTCTATACCCAGCTTGGTTCTTCATGTGTTCCAACAGTGCACCTATTACTATTGTAGTTGAATCTATCCATTTTTCTAATGGACATCCTATTTTTCTCTTCCTTTTCATCCTTCCCTACAGTATATAGACTTCTCACATTGTAAAGGTAAAGGTAAAGGTTCCCCTCGCACATATGTGCTAGTCGTTTCTGACTCTAGGGGGCGGTGCTCATCCCTGTTTCAAAGCCAAAGAGCCAGCGCTGTCCAAAGACGTCTCCGTGGTCATGTGACCGGCATGACTAAACACCAAAGGCGCAAGGAGCACTGTTCCCTTCCCACCAAAGGTGGTCCCTATTTTTCCTACTTGCATTTTTTTACATGCTGTCAAACTGCTAGGTTGGCAGAAGCTGGGACAAGTAACTGGAGCTCACCCCGTTACGCGGCACTAGGGATTCAAACCACTGAACTGCCGACCTTTTCGATCGACAAGCTCAGCGTCTTAGCCACCGAGCCACTGCATCCCTTAGACACTGAGCCACCCCTCTTTAAGACACAGGTCATTCTTTGGAAGACAACAAAGTCCATATTTTGGACAGAGAGGACCACTGGTTTGCAAGAGGAGTCAAAGAGGTCATCTATGTCAAAATTGAACAGCCTTCTCTCAATAGACGCGGGGGGGGAGGATAAGACATCATCTATCTCCAATCTACAACACAGTCCTTTCAACAGTTCCAAGAAGGCTCCACACCAATTTGCACCACTCAGGTGACCTTAGGCCACCTTAGGTGACACAGATAAACCTCCAGCTGACCTTAACGACCCGCCAAAAGAAGGCAAACAACCAGCTGTCTGCAAAGGAGTATAAATCCTTCTATTCCCCACCATCTAGTCCAGGGGTCCCCAAACTTGGCAGCTTTAAGACTTGTGGACTTCAACTCCCAGAATTCCACAAGTCTTAAAGCTGCCAAGTTTGAAGACCTCTGATCTAGTCAAGAGCTGAAGAAGCTTCTTGGATGAGAAGCAAAACATCTTCAAAGAAAGTCCAGTTGCCTCTTTAAAAAAAAAAGCACCTTTGGGACAACCCTGACCTGGATAACTGAGAATCTGCATAGACTTTCAGTGCCGTAACTTTGAACGGCCGCTAAATGAATTATTGCTAAGTCAAGGACTTACCTGTACTTCACCGTCCGCACTGGGGTTATGAAACTAATCTGTACCCCATAAAGACTATATAGCCGGACATGTCTAATGAGATTCTCCATCATCCAGACTATGATGGTCCCATAGGTGGTTTCCCCACCCCCCAAAAAAAGCAGCTGGATTTATTTTTTCCCTTCCTTTGAGAACGTTTCCTTTCTCATCCAAGGAGCTTCTTCCACTGGAGAAGTAGATGAGAAGGGAAACGTTTGCAAAGGGCATGTTGGGGGAGGGGGAGGATTTAACCCAGGGAAGTCCAGTTTCCTTTTGGGGAAAAAAAAAAAGCCCTTTTGGGGTGTAGCCCCACATGGCTCAGGCTGAAAACTCCTGCCGATGCCCAAAGCCAGGGGTGAGGTGGCCCTTTTTTTACAACCTGTGGACTTCAAACTCCCAGAATTCCTGAGACAGCCAAGCTGTCTCAGGAATTCTGGGAGTTGAAGTCCACAGGTTGTAAAAAAAAAGGGCCACCTTTACCCACCCCTGCCCAAAGCCCAGCCCCGATCCTTCGAAAGGCAGCCCCGATCAGGCCCGCGGGGGTTGTGGGGAGGGCTGGAGAGGAGGCCGATCCCCGCAAAGGGAGGGGGGCTGCGGGCCAAGGCCGGGACGCCCCATCCAGGGCTCACCTTTGCAGGCGCTGATGAGGAAGTAGCCGTAGGGGGTGATGCCGCTGAAGGCCAAGTCCACCACGGGCCGCGTGTGGCCCGAGCACGTCAGCGGGGTCTGCTTCATCGCCATGGCGCCGGTCGGTCGGGTGAGAGGAAGGAGCAACGGAAAGGGGGAGGCCGGGAGGGCGAAGGGGAGGCAGCGGTCTCCCACGGCCACGCGAGCGGCCTGGCCTCCTGGTGACGGGACGGAGGGGACCGGCGGCCGGAAATGGGAGGGGAGGGGGAAGAGGGAAGAATAGTCGTTGCCGGAAGCTCCCTCATGGTGAGCGCTCTTTCCCTTTCGGCTCTATGGTCACTTCCGGATCGGGATGCGATTGGCGCGAGGGCTCGTGACGTCGCAGGGAGCGCTGCCATAGAGACTACGGGAAGGTTCGGCCTCGTCTCTTTTTCCCGCTCAGGGTTCCTTTTTCCACATTGGACACCTGAGCAATTCCCCGTAAGGGGAATTATTGCCGTATGTTTTCCAAAGAGCGCCGTTCGATCTGTCCCGTTGGCAAGTTTTTTTCCTCTCTCAAGGAGGGAAAAGGAAGAAAAGGCGAAGCCAAAAGAACACGGCGCTTCTTTCGGGGCTTTCAAAAAGAGACTGTCTCTTTAAGAGGCGGGCTCTTTCTGGCCCCGCCCCCCACGAGAGGCCAGGCTTGATCTACCATTGGATAAAAGTTTAGTTAGAAGATTTATTTATTTATTTACTATTTAATTAATTTATATGCTGCCCAAGCGTGTTTGTATGTAAATTTGTACACATGTATACATACATACACATGTATATCAATGGTGGGTTTCAAATTTTTTTATTACCGGTTCTGTGGGTGTGGCTTGGTGGGCGTGGCATGGCTTGGTGGGCGTGGCAGGGGAAGGATACTGTAAAATCTTCATTCCCATCCCACTCCAGGGGAAGATTACTGCAAAATCCCCATTTCCTCCCTTATCAGTTGGGACTTGGGAGGCGGAGAATAGATGGGGCGGGGCCAGTCATAATTTTTACTACCGTATAAAAAGAAAAAGTAGTTTGGAGTTCCTAGAGTTGAGAAAATCTGACTGGCTCAACGCCTTGCAGCTGGCTTTGTAGCTAAGATCAGAGATGGTATTCAGCAGGTTCTGACCAGTTCTGGAGAACCGGTAGCAAAAATTTTGAGTAGTTCGGAGAACTGGCAAACACCACCTCTGGGTGGCCCCAGAGTGGGGTGGGAATGGAGATTTTGCAGTATCCTTCCCCTGGAGTGGGGAGGGAATGGAGTTTTTGCAGTATCCTTCCCCTGGAGTGGGGAGGGAATGGGGTTTTTGCAGTATCCTTCCCATACCACGCCCACCAAGCCACGCCCATAGAACCGGTAGTAAAAAAAATTGAATTTCACCACTGTAGTAAATTCAAATGATCATTTTTAATTAATAGTTGATTGCACAAAGGTTCATAGTGAAATATTGCTTAGTAAGTGATTTCTCTGTATTTTTTATTATTAGGGCTGCCCAGCTCCAAAAAGTCTGAGTGGTTTATAAACCATGAAATATGCATTGAAAAGGCTGTTAAAAACAACAAAACAAAAATAACCCCATGCCTAGGAGCAGACCCATGTCTTAAGGACTTCTAGACCTGTTACAGAATAAGAGCCATATGTATCATTTGGAAATGCATTTTTTCAGAAATTTTTGACCAAAACAAATGATTAATTTGGTGTTATCACAAAAAAAAATAACATAATTGTAGCGACATCTGCATATTATCTTCTGGTCAGTTGTGAATAATTTGTGAAAACATATTTAAAAAGGATTCCACCAGGAGTCTTGAAGATCAAATCTAAAATGTTCCTTCCAGAGTCTTTGTTTTTCAAGAAAACATTCTGGGCTTGATATAAGGCTTGGGTATAATGTTAAATATTATAAATCATCATATTTGATAAGATGCTAATTGTACTGGGATATGAATATATCCCATTTGAAACATTTTTTTTCTCACATCAAACCATTTTGTGAACAGCATATATTCAGCAGTAACAGAATGTCCATTAATAATGATTTTTTTAATCCTTTAAAATTTACATTGTTTCCACACCTCATACTGAACAAATTTATCTTCTGTCTAAAAAGATCATCAATATACGGGGGATTACAAACCCAAAATGGTAGTTATCTGTTCCAGACGTCTAATTAATAAGTACGTCATGAAAGGAACATTTGTCTCTTTAAGATTTCTCTAATTGCTTTCAAATGCGATCCATAACTTGCAAACTGAAGTTAGATAAAACAGAATATCACCACTGTGAATGAAGGGATTGTCCCCAACTAAGGAATTTCAATTAGTTGGTAAAGGGAGACCCAGATTTTAGTCTTCCCTTAGGAATGGAAGCTAGCTGGGTGCCTTTGGGCCAATCCTTCCCTCTTAGCTCTAGACTAAAAACTTGAAAAACATTTTATCTGTGTTAAATATAAGGAAAATAATCATTTAAAAGAATAATAGTTATCATGTATTATTTTATATAAGAAAAAAAGTCATCAGGACTTACCTTACGAGAGCAAGGAATAACTTTAGATTGGTGGACCTATTCACAAGTAAAATCCAGATATCAGAGAGACAAAGAACAATACGGTCTAGAACCGGGACCAAATGGATTGGATAAAGTCTTGATGGGAACAAATAAAAAGATCCTGGCAAAACTATATAATTATTTATTAAGCGATGATAAGTTCGAAGACGTCACGAAGAATCAAATAATTGCATGGGAGAAAAATACAGGGCGTAATATAAATTTTGGGGAATGGGAGGAGGCATGGAACAGAAATCTTAAATTGACTAGAGCGGTGGCATATAAGGAAAACCATTACAAAATGTTTCATAGATGGTACCTAGCCCCGGCCAGACTAGCGAAGATATATCCCAATATACATCCCAATTGTTGGAAATGTGGCCACGGTCAAGGCACCTTCTTTCACATGTGGTGGACATGCCCGGAAGCAAAAGGATACTGGAATAAAATTAGGAGGTGGTTATATGAAATAACTGATGAAGATATTGAATTAACACCAGAGATTTTCCTCCTGGGAATAATAAAGAAGCCATATAGAAAGGAAATGACACATTTAATGATCCATATAATTACAGCCGCTAGATTGGCATACGCACAGTACTGGAAAGAGAAAATACAACCACCAGAAGAGCTTACAATTAAGAAAATACTCGAGTGCGCAGAGATGACTAAATTAACTTATGAATTAAATGATGAAAAGTCAGTTTACTATATGGTGTGGGAAAGGTGGTACAAGTGGTTGCATGATAAAAGGAAAGAAAGATCTAAAGGTGTGTTAAATATTGGTTAAAAGTGAGTTAAAATGTCACCAAGTATTATTTATGTAAATAGTTAAAACACTGCACATCCGATACAAATTGAAAATGCATATTATATTTATGTGTTCTACGTTATTGTTTGAATGTTTGTTTGTTTTTTCTTTTTATTTCTTTTTTGTTCTTTAAAAAATCTCAATAAAGTTTCTATAAAAAAAAAAGTCATCAGGAAAGAGAGATTCTATACACTTATTGGTCCACTGGATTTTGTAAATCATGGTAGTCCTAGATTAAAGAAAATAGCTCATGTTAGAACCAACAGGAAATATCCCACCTCATAGCTTTAACTGATTGTTTTCTAGTAAAATTGTTTTATATACATTTCATTTGCATATTATCTAGAAACAATTAGTTGTAAAACTGAATTTATCTTTAGATATATCATTTATTGAGAGTTACTTGGTCTGTTTCAGAGTAGACTTTGAATTTATCTATTAGACATAGAAGAGTTCTAATTTCTGTCCAAGCAAGAATGAACAAATCTAAAGAAATTGTTTTGAAATTCTGCATTATTTCTGCCATAGCGTGTGATCAAACTCACTGGAAAAGGTAGTTATTCTCAGAATGGCCAGCAGTAAAAGCTGCCAGAAGCCAATAGTAAATAGACACCATCAAAGCTGACACCAGCTAAAACATAAAATAATTGAAAGAAACCATACAAGATTAGAAAATGCGAAGAGAGCTGATCTGTACAGTAGCCTGGAATCCGACACAATCATCATCAGACACCAGATGGAATAGCGTTAAACATGTCTACTGTCAACCCTGAAGCGAACCTGGCTGAGGCCATCTTTACAGCTTCAGGGCTGCCACAAGATAGGGAGGGGGAAAAATAAACTGGAGTTTTGTAGTCAAAACAGAAAGTTTTCCTGTAGGAACCAAGGACATTTCAACAGGTGGTTGGGAAGAGGAGGAGTACAGTAACCAAGCAACCGCCCGCACATCTATTGGACAATGTGACTGATGACTTGAGGGGAAAGGGGGAACTTTCATTTTTTAATTAGGTGAAAACCATGGGACCTTTCAGAGTCGGTTTTCACCAGTTGTGCTAATATGATGTATCCAATAAATTAGGCAGGTAGAGGAATCTACCTGCCTCAGAGTTCTGTTTTCAATGGGTGCATTTCTTGGAACGCTGACATCTACTACAACATTTCATTTTATGAAATAGTTCTCTTTATTCTAATTATTATTAGTTTAGGCACTTGTATGTCTTCAGAGAACAATCCTAATCAAGGCAATGAGTATATATAACTTTCAAAGTCTTTATCTTTTTATCCATTTAAAATGTTGACCTTCATACCAGATTTTTGTGCAAGACGGTATTGCAAATTTTTTTTTTTTTTTTTTTTTTAGTCATCTTGGAATTGTAACTTTCAGAAGCTATTGTCCACTGCCTACTTGTCTGGAATTAATTAATGCGTTGTGATTTATTTCTGAATAGACATGAGTGGCAGTCTGCTGTAAGAAATGCATTTAAGCTTTTCTTTCCATTATGTCCTATTATTTATTGCGTACACGTGGGAAGCATTTCCATTCCAGTGCTCTCTTGAGCTTCTTGGCAAACGTAATCTATTTTTGTTGATTTGAAGGACCATCCCATCTGACTTAATTAAGAGAACATTTTAAAAAATTTTGAAAGGATCCTGAGTTGATTGTGACGGAAAGATGGCGTGGTACAGCCCATGATGAAGACAAATAAAATCCAAGGTTATCAGAGTTGACTTTATAGAAAACCTTGGAAGAAAGTTGGCTTTGTAGAAAAAACTTGGGACCATGTTTAATGAAATGATATCCATACAGCTTGAACAGCCGTGGAAATGTGCAGACAAGCTGTGCTCTTGAGAAGCGTTTCGCTTTATTGTTCCCTGCTCTCAGTTTT